TGTAAATGACTATTGACATCATTTAAAATTATTCATGATTGAAATGTATCAATTTTTTTTGTGACAACACTTAGTTTTCCATCAGCAGACCAATCGATTAATCAGCTAATGTCACAACTCTATTTACAGGCACAATGTAAAGTAATTGCCTTTGTCACTAAAATGAATGTGCCCTGTAATATCTCATTTTATAGAAAAACTAAATATGAGAAATGTTTTAGATTTGGTTGTAGCGATCTAACGCGTTCGCAATGCATCATTGTCTGTCCAGACCGACTGTATCCACAGCGAAGAGGACTCAGCATCTTCCAGGCCGCTGACACCGTCCCGAAAATGAAGTAACAGGTGAACTACGTCGCGCTGCTGCAGTCTCTCCGTGCGTATGTGTACAGTAGCAAACTCACAAATTCCCTGGACGGCCATTACCACTTTCCCAGGTTCCCCCGCTCCTCCTCCTGTGGCCTGTGCACTGAAAATTATGCTCTAAATGAAGTCACCAAGGATGCTTGTGAATGTCACGTAACCTGTTTGCCTGTGGCACAAGGGGCACGTTTGCGTCTCCCAGGTGAGTAAGTGCTGTGATACTGTCAGGCACTAAGGGGGGTCCGGGGGTTCTGCTGCTTCTCCCCGCCGCCATAAAACATGGGCTGTGTTAGGACGAGATGCGGCGTGTTTATGAGGGAGCAGAAGTGACGAGGGGGGGGCGCTTGGCGAGTGTGATTCAGAGACAGAGCAACCAACACACGAGGGGCGTAAAAAAGGAACGTATAAGAATGTCGTTTGGATGATTTATGTGAACAAGCGACAAGAAACAGAACAAATGTTTCTGTGAGTAGCTAGAAAAACAAGAAACTAAGCAGTATTTGTCAGCTCCTGTTAATATTTTGTCAATTTATTAATTAGTTGATAGCACTAAGCAACAAAAAAAAGTCCCATGATTTACTTATCTGAAACGTCTGAAACGTGCATATTTTTCCATCGTCCTTTAATAGTATATTGCGGGGAACTAAATTGGTTTTCGGCTTCTGGTTTGGAAAACACAACACAGCTTAACTTCTAGAAAGCCGGGATGAGCAAATTGCACTATTTCTCTCATTTTACAGACCAAATTATCAATGAAAAACAAACATTGAAAATGATTGTGGTTGCAGCCCCAGAAGGTTTCAGTTAGATTTGGATTGTTACCGCTGTGCCTCCTTCTCACAACAGTAAATCGTGCATTATGATGTTGGCCCTGTTGTAAACACGACATTTGCACTGCATAATGTAGAAGCATTTCTGTTTCCAATAAGTAAGGGAAATAAACCATGCATGCAAATGTGAATTTCAGTCAATACTGAAAAAAATGAGATGGAAGACCTGTGCCTTGACAAACTCCAATAAAAGTACAATGTGTGCTGTGGTTATTAATAACGTTAGGCTCCTCCCCTTCTGGTACCCAAGATGAGTATCTAATTAACCTTAATTACCAGTTATTCGTTGCAGCTGGGAATTTTACCGACTCTTCTTGTAACCAAATTAGAAAGTCGTCTTTAACGCCTTCTCTAATAAAACGTTCTTTTTTTTAAACTGTTAACGTTACCGTGTAATTACGTTGTAGCCAATGTTGTAGGACTATTACAGCTCACCTTTGCGGCGTCTTGTCCAGGTAGGGTTTTTTCTTTATTTTCTCGGGAGACGCTTGAAGTCCTGCGTGGTGTTTTGGCGTCGCACATCAAACCCGCCGATACTGTAGCCTACTTCTCCCCTTCAGCCACCATTTCAACAACCCCCCGTCCGTCCGTCCGTCCGTCCGTCCGTTAGATACACCTTTCAGCTGCACACCTTCACACGGGACACGGTGTTTAAACGTGTGGTCCTTAACTTCCAAGGTCGGTTATTTCCTCCGCAGCTGACCGCGTCCAATAACGTGTCAGCTGTTTGACGTGTTGAAAGCAGGCCTTTAAAGTTATGCTACAAACGACCCACAATGCAACTTTCTTACTTCCGAGGGACTACGGTTACATTTATTGCGGCATTATTATTCCTCTATCTAACAGTACGCTATAGTTTACCAAGTGTTATATTTATCATTGTTTACTTTGTGTTTGGTTTGACAACCCAATTTTCTTGGAAAAAAAAACTTCCCAGCCTAGTGTACAGTAAAACATTAGTTCACATTTAGTCAACTAAAAGCTTTTCCTAGAACGTGAAGAATGAAGCTAAGCGTGTTTGAAGACACAGATATCCACATATGTCATTTAATTTAGTGAGGCTGGTTTGACCTCTGCTCAGGTTTAAGTGGGTGGAGCTATGCTTAATAATGTATAATGCAATGCCTAATCAGTGTCTAATCACCCTAAGTAAAGAAATTACAAGATCTGTGGATCTAACATTAGACCATTACGGCCGACGGGGGGGTTGGCGCTGACGGCCCGACCGGCGAACGATATGGTTGACGGGAGGGGGGCTGGAGGCCGTGGGCCGCACTAACATTAAACTCTCATATTAAGGTGGGGGCTACAAAATATCGTCCCGAGGGCCTCAGTTGGCCCGCGGGCCGCGGGTTTGAGACCCCTGGCTTAAAGTTTCTCCAAGTTGAGTAACCTTCCGTTCTTATTGCAGCGCAGAACAAGCTTTAATATCTCAAGGAGAACCACATTCCAAAGTCTTGAACCCTTTGGGCCCCAAAGTGACAAACATTGACCAAATCCTGCATTCTATTTTAAATCAATGTTATCTTGGAGAATAAAGCCAAAGAGGAATTTTCTTTCATGTGCCAAGGCTGTCAAGTTGTCCCAATACACAGCTGGAGATGTCATTGATTCACCTTTGATTTTGGAGTTCTGCGAGGCATTCGGCCATTGATTTTTCCCTCGCGGGTGATATGAAAAACGTACCTTCTTCTTTTGGGTCACAATCTGAGATCCTCATATACTGTTGTACACACACGGCATGCACCTTTCTCTGGCCACTTGTCTACTCGCAAGACTCACGTTCTTAAACAGCATCATGGGGGCTCCTGTATGTAGTGTCTTACAAACACGCAAATGCATGGCAGACAACATTTGTCCAACACAGCGTCTCTACCAGAGCCAGAAGGACACTTGTCCTTATCAGCACATCCAGTGAACATCCATCCTCCTGTGCTGCACTGTTCAACAGACGTTTGTGCAATTGGATTTCTTTTCAATGACAGCAAGTGAAGGTACCCAAGACGTTCATCAAAAACTTATTGTGTGATTCTGAATGGTAGGTGCAATTGGAAAAATATCAGATTATATAGATTTTTCAAATAAAAGCACCGGAAGACTTTGATTTTCAGTAATAAGATCAAATCAAATGAATCAGTAATGAAGGAGATGGAATAAGTAGGTGGGGATTGGGTAATAAAGCCGCTTGCCACACAGCTTCCTGAGGGGCTTCTTTCTATTGTAGGCATTAGCTCTATTCTCTATGAAAGTTTTTAATAGAAACGTACGTTTTGGAAATATTTGCCTCAAAATAAACTCTGAAAAAGGACACAGCGTTAAACACAGAGTTCCAACAATAAAGGTTGATTCATCAACCTTGACAGCCAAAAACAGCATACAAGCACATGTCATCACTTACTTTGTGGTTAGGATGCGAAGCAGAAAACTTTAAGCGATGAAGGTTTTTAGTCAAAAGTCTGATGGCCGAGCCAGTTTAAAGTGAATGTACACTTGTGCTAGTTTGAAACCGTTTGCACTTGAGTAATCAGCGGTAATTGAAAACGCTGCTTGAATTCAATATCATAAACTGGCTGCAATCTGTTATGTGCCAGTAAACATCTGTGCGCCTTTATAAGTCTGCAAAGCCAATGGGAAGTGACCTGCAGTGCCGCTTATTCGCGGTGCCATTTTGTGCCGTGCAAGCATGTTTCCAGCCAGCGTCGGGGCAGCTTATGAGCTTGTGTTCCAACTTATTAATAAAGTGGATAAGGAGCCAGACTGGCATCTTCAGCACATTTCATGAACTCGCCCCAGTTTGTAAATGCCATTCAAAATGATGCAGTGGTGGCAAAGCAAGCTCTTACTGTCCACCGAAGTCGAATCTCTAAGTGATTCATGCTCAAAGGGACAGTTCATCCCAAACATGTGGGGCTGTTTATCAATTGGAGATTGGTTCAGTGTAAGTTAGTCATTTAGAGATCGGCCATTGAGCTGTTTGCCTTCTCTCTGACCCAGGGGTGCTGTATTAGCGGTGGGGGTGTAGTTCCTAGCGCGCCGAAGCAAAAACCCATTTGTAAATATCTGTCTCTCTCCAGATATCATTACTCAAAATAGCCCTTATCGGCAGTTTATTTTTTATTTTTAACAAGCTTGTTACCATGTAGGCCCATTATAATGAAGGTAAGGCAAACATCTCTATAGCTGATATCTCACAACCAAAACACTATCTACAGCAGTGCAAAGGTAAGTGCATTTTGTAAGTGGGATTTGGGGATGAACTATCCCTTTAAGTACATGGCCCGATGGAGGACCCAAGCTGTAATAAGAGGAGCCAAACATCCCTGGTAACGTTTCACAATGACTCAGGCATCAATCACAGGACAAGCTCTGGGGAAAATAGCCTGAATTCTTCATTTCTCCCTGCAATAAGTTGCAACAGGCGAACATGATGAGGGAAAAGTACAGAAAGCTTGTGACCACTCATTACAAAGTGTAACATTGATCCAGTGGTAACAATACGGGTAATCTGTATGTGCATAATGTGATGCTGCTTTATGTATATATGTACATATCTCGTACATGATTCTCACTTTGTTGGTGGGTCATTCGGTGCTGAGCTGGTCGCAAACAGTTTGCTGATGAGAGCGGTTGCCGCAACGTTAAAAAGTACAATACAATTTAGTATCTCGCTTAGAAGGTAGGCGATTCTCACCCCTCTTCCTGTCCTCTCACAGGATGAACGCTCCGTCTGAATTACATATCTCCCGCAGAGTCAAACTCACGTTAATGATACAGTATCTGAAAAGAATTAATTGGTTACACCAGCGATGATATTGAAATATTTATTACAGTTTATGAAATCACTGCTTCTATTGTAAAGCAGACCAGAGCATATACAGAGCACATCCACTGTTTCTGGGCCAACGTTTATTTGGCACTAAAATGGACAGAGGGCTAATGAGGGATATTAACTGATAATAAAAAAATGAATTTATCGTTACATCATTTGGAGGTCCTTCGCTGGTGTCCATATAAAAGAGTTCCAAGACCCAGACAAAACTTTTGTTGTAGCTAAGTGATGAATCTTTGTCAGTTATTTATTTGTTGGTAAACAAGTTCCACTGTTACAACAAATATTAGTTATGCGGCCATTCAACTTGGAAACCGTTATACATAAGGAATAAATAAGAAGCCATAACCATTTCCAAGAATAACAACTTATCTGTGCCACTAAACTTGACTCCATCCTGCATTTGATTACTGTTTAGTAAACAGACAAAATAAATATATTTTCTCCTTGAGGAAGAAAAACAAAAAACACTTCCAGTTTTTCTCACTCCAAAAGCTCTTTCTTTAATAAGTAAAACAAACATCTTTCTGTTTTGTACAAGTGCCTAGTGCTCATTAATGTTCAATTTGTTCTCGCTCTTTCTCTCGAAGCACAAGCGAATGCCAGTGAAGATGCAGACTGCACTACGAACCTTTCTGAGGGACACCTCATGATTGACCTGGACTTGTTCTGTGTCCTCGACGATCTGGGAATCAGAACTCTGCTATCCTCACAGTACAAAAAGGGGGAAGAAATCCAAATGAAACAGAAAGTAGACCCGAAAACAAAGACAAATATGTAGCACAGAAATGCCAGCACGGTACATGTTTTGTTGCGGTATTTTTTGTGTTATCTTGCTTCTATTTAGATGTTCAATTCTTGGAAAGTGATAAAAGAGGAAAACAAAAACAATAAACAGACTGGTACCAGAAAACCAGAAAGGCCAGCACAACAGAACGAAATTGCTCCTAACCACTACATTTACACAGACAAAGGGTTTGCCCGGAACAAAAAAGAGCATACTACTGTGTGCAATGCTAGTTATCTGTACAATTACATAGAAATATCTCATAATTATCTTATTAGTTTTTTTCTCCCTCTTTTGACAACTGTTATTACAGTAAAATGAAAGAAAAACAACAGCTATGCCTGAAAGCATACGATCAATAATTCCTTCGTGGTAATTGTTCAAAGTGTGTGTTTTGTGTTCTTTTTTTCTGTGTCATGTTTTCATCGAAGGGACACTTCAGCAAACAAAATGTGCTGCAACTCACCAAAGAGGAAGAAAATCTTTCAAAAAAGCAATATAGATACAGAAGTATAATAAAATAGTCCTTTTTTTAAATTTCCCATTTACTCTGCAGAAGTCTATAGTTTCGACTTGTGTAGTTGGGCGGGCTTTGCAGTTCATTTTGACTCTCAGACTAAAAATCCTGTGTGAGTAATTGTCTCTTTTCACACCGAGACAAAACACACCAAACCACACAGGGTTGGAGAAGAGGAACACAACATCAACAGATTCCTGCAATGTTTAACCGAATAGTCACATATTAGGCCCCCAGACAAATACAGCGAGAATACCCCGCTTGTGGTCGGCAAAAGCGATTCCGAGTCCTTTGCTCTGCTTCTGTCTTCGGGGGCACAGAATAAAAAGAAAGGCTACCACTGCCAACGACTGAAGGAACGAGGGGACACGGTGAAGAGGACTCTGGTAATAGGAGGGACACTGGAGGAGCGGCGGTGGCGTCGGGCCTATAGGCTGGTGACCAGGTGCGAGGGCTCCGGCTGGGCTTCTTCTGGAGATAGATCCTCTTTGTTGGGGGGCACGATGAAGCCATCGCTGCTGCCCCGCCCTAAGTGGTAATAGGAGTGCAGCTGATGGAGGTGGTTGCGTGAGCCCAAGTTGGGCATGCTCTTGTAGTAAACGTCGTCCGAACTGGCCTCGGGGCTCTTGGCGTCCCCGCCGTCGGCGGGTTCCACGGACGGCTCAGGCAGGCCGGGCAGCATGGGCATGCTGGTGTAGAGGGAGTCCCTCTGGTGGTTGTGGCCGGGCGATGAGCCCTCGTCGTCGGTGTGCTCGTTGGTGAGTAGGGGAAAGAAGCTCTCGCTGTTCTCCTGGGGGATCCTCCTGCGAGACGAGGAAGTGGCGGTGGACGAGAAGGGGTGGTGGGGCAGAGGGAGGGGCGGCGGCGCAGACTGGTGGAGGTGATTGTTCAGGGTGTCCACCGCCTGCAGGGATGGTAGGGGTCTTTGAGGCAACAGCGGGGCGTTGGACTCCTCACGGATCAGGTCCAGGCCCAGGCCTTCGTCGTGGTGCGGACCGAAGGTGGAGTGCTCGTCAAGGCTCAGCGCCACGTTCATCCCCATCCCCATGCCCATGCCCATGCCGTAGCCGCTGTCCTTGCCCCCGTTGCTGACGTTATTGACCAGCTTGTTCATTAGGTTCCGGTTCTGCTCAGTTGCGCGCTCGTGGGAATTGTTGAGGTAGGAGGGGATGTAATTGGAGGTGAGCTCTTTGAGGATCTTCTTTTCCAGGGTGGTCTCCTTGTGGTTGTAACCCCGATCAATTATCTGGACGCAGTCACTCATGTACTCGGCGCTGGCGATGCTGTAGCTGTTGCCATGGTTACCATTCAGTGGTAGAGTATCCATGACACTTGTATCCCGGGCATTGTTCAGGATTCCCTCTGGAATGACAAACATGGGTTGGGTTGGGGGGGAGGGGTAGAGTGGCCGAATGAGAAAAAGCTGATGCGATGTAATTGCAACAGCTAAATGCCACTTTCACCAACACAAATTAATTTCAGGAATTAGGACATGAAGCACAATAAAAAACGTTATCCTGTAAATATGAACGTCATACACACTTACCTTGTAAAAATAAACAACATTTTCTAAGACACAATTAAAGTTTTCAATATTTGATGGCGGTGGTGAAAACACTGAAATATGTGTGACACGCAACAACACAAAGCACAGGCACAGCACACAGACACACACACACAAACACAAAGCATCAAGCAAACAAAGACCAAAAACATGGCCAAGCATGCAACACTTGAACACAAACCAGAGCAACAGCTGTAAATTTGGCCCCCTGCCATATTGTCCCATTTGAGCATATCAACAATAAAAATAGACTTCATGTCTGCTTTGCCCGTGTAAAGACAATTAGTGCTCTCTCTCTCTCTCTCTCTCTCTCTCTCTCTTGAGACATGAATTAATAAAACATAACAACCCACACTGAAAGTAATGAAACCTTATGTTCTCTCGGTTTTTACATTTTATCAGTTTGACCAAGTCTTTGCCATCAGCAGAGGGTGTGATGGTGTGATTTAATTCAAGCTATATCATACAAGGCCATCCAGCTTGTTACAAGTGTCAAGCCCAGCAATTTAATGACCTGAAGACTCATTTCAGAGACCTTCAAAACATATGTGGGCTTGATCAAAGTGAATAGTGTGATGGTATATTACTAGTGGGACTTATTTACCAGCTTTTATTGTCGGACCGCTCAGTGTTTTGCACATTGGTTGTGCAGTGAGATAAATGACCATAGATGGCATCTCTGCTCACCTTAAACAACAGGAAGGGGCTGAATGCGGATGCAGATAGCTGACCGTTCTATCGTTAACCATTTAATAGTTAAGAACAGAATAGTCAGATAGAAAACTTTTGTCCGGATGTCTTTGTAATAACTCATTCTCGTTCTGCTCTTCATAAGCTGTAAACATCCTGCACCCTTGGTTCCTTCTTCAGACTGCATTGCACTGTTTGACGATTGAACCTTCTCTGCACAGGGAATGAATACTCTAAAATCTTTTCTAAAATGTCTGTATTTCAGTGCCATGGCAATTACTTTGTACGACTTATACTCTCGCCACTATAATGGTACAATATAAACACAATAAATGCATGGACATGGGCACTGATACGAATACAACTTATTTTATTTGGATGGGCCTTATTAAATGTTAAGGTGAGTCTAAATGGTGAATGTATTTGGATTAACTCAATCGGGCCAATGGATATTTGACTGTAAGAAGCAGCAAATTCCTGAAGTCTTTTTTTACATCGAGAATTGCAAAGTACAATAAGCAGTGAAGTCAAGGATGTGATTTAAACTGATTTTTACAGGTCTATTCGAATTGGTGCGGCCCTTTGTCATATAATAATGCTGTTACTTCCAAAGGGAATGACATTTTGTTTTCATTACCCCTTTGTCAGTATCGAGTGAAAAGAAAGTAAAGCCAAAGTCAATTACATTTGATAAGCAATGTTTAGTTTGACTCCCATACTTGTCTCTCTGTAGGGCTCTTTTTGGGACAGCATGAGGGGAAGGAAAGAAGAAAACACAATAAGCACAGTGACAGGTAGAAGAGAAATGTGCACATACAGTATGCTGATGACGCATCAAGAAAATGCAGTCGGAATGCTATCGCTTTATATTTGTACATATAATAATAACAAATATTTTATACCCACAGAAAAAATCATGGACATATCCGAGAAGAAAATATATAAAAGCAGAGATGCCTTGCAAAGACTTTTTGCGGAATTCGTCGGGCGCAAAATAGGAACGCTGGTGGAATGTCAAATGCACCAGTTAAAGGAATGTACAGTATTTGCATTTTTATCCTTCCACCTATCTCTTTAACATCTAAGGCAATGTAGGTGAATTATAGCCCACTGTCACCAGCTCCGATGCAGCACTTGTATTGAATACATAAATTATGCCCCGATCAAAGCTGTGTGAGTTTTTATCTCAGTACTAACTCACAAATTTACAGTGATTTCATACTGACTGCTTGAAGTTTAATTAAAATAAATAACAGTTCTGCACATAGAAAAAAGTATTTCAATAGACTGGTATCAAATAGATTTATTCTTGGCTGAACAGAGATGGTTTCTAATGCTCAAGCTAACATTAAGATTGGTATTATATTTAAGGACCAATATATTGACCTATTAACCCTACCACCTCGCCTCCCCGACAAAATAAAATGTAGGGGGGATCAAATTTCAATAGATTTAATAACCCATATTTTGAATATATGAATTAAGACATTTTTAAATTAGAACTTCAAAATGGAAGGGAAATTTATTCTTTGAAGGAGTTGGTAAACAGCAATTCATGGCTTAATGATATTCCTCATTTCTAATCTTCAGACTATTATATTCAATGGAACATAGTTAAGCGATCCAAGCACAGTTTATGCTAAAAAAAGAAGCGCCAAACAGAGACTAAAGACATGGCACACAAGCTTCACTAACAACGCTAGAGCACATTTAAAATAAATGCCTGGGGATGTATCCTGCTACCAACAGGCACGCATTTGTGCAATGTCTATGTTCAAATGCCGGGGTGTGTACTTTGTAACTTAGTGGCCTGGCCAGACCAGAAGTCAAGATAGACCCCCAATGAAAGACCCCTCAGCAGGACAAAACTGTTTTGCAACACAAGCCGTAGTTGTTTCAATGCCAACACACAAAACGTAGAGCAGTGTTTGTTTTTTTGTTTTTCATTTTGTATTAAAGCCCAGTAAAATCACCCAGGGGTAGACACTGGCATTTCAGCTCAGTGCAAGTCTGTCACTTAGAGCTCGCCAATCATAAAGTTGCAGTCTGTTCCCGGGCATGAACAAGGATGTGAAACCGCAGAGTTTCTCCAGGAGCAAACAGGAAAAAAAAAAACAAAAAAAAACACTGCCCTAACCACAACGTTAAAGAATGAAAAGAAGCCAGCACACCTTGTGTGTTGTACATGCCCAGAGGGTTGTTATAGACTGCCGAGTCCCCAAGCAATGTGTTATAGGGATTGTTAGTGCCATGAGGACGTAGGAGTGCATTAGGTATAAGATGGTTAGCCATAGCCCCTGGAGCAGCCAGAAAAGAGACAGAGCGAGACAGAAAAACAGAAGAGAAGTTGAGACAGAGAAGGGCAGGTGGGCAGATAGGGTGAGATTTGGACAGACAGAAAGAGAGAGAACACACATATCAGTTGGGCAGATGCAGCTGAGCAACGACAGCCATTAACACCCAAATGATCACATGATCATTAATGGAGGGGGGGGGGGGGTTGCTACCATGAAAGTGGCAGAGCTGAACTGACATGGCTAATGGGCCGAATGAAAAGTGTTGTCAGTCGTAATTGTTGGAAGGCGTCAATACGCAACCATTTCCCTAAAAAGTAATTCCCCTCTAACATTCACGTATAACCCCCCCCGAAGGGGTGTAGCCGTGTCTGTATCTGCTCTCTGACTCTACTCTTCTAATTCTGCTGCGCTCAGGACGTTTCTGGGCATCAGTACAGAACATTGGGACCCCACGTGGGGAATAGACCCCCAGCCAATAAGCAAGGGTGTGCCGCCTGTTCTCATTCCTAAATCAAACAGCGCCTGAGTGAAAAATGAAAGAACGTGAACGTAAACTGGTAAACAATCAGGGGCTTTAGTTTTCTCCTGATTTACTCTCACTCTCTCGCTCTCTGTGCCTACATTTTATACCTTTAATGCCAGCCATTAGTGTTTCTGTGCTCCACATTCAGGTAGCATACGTTAAGAGACATAAGTCACAAAGAAACATCAACATGGCCAACACAACACATAAACTGTGACATTTCTAGACCTTTCCTGAACAGATATTACAATAATTAGTAGTTTAAAAAATTTAACAATCTTGGTAATGACCAGTAGGGGCAGAAGTTGTGGTTGCAAAAACAAGTCAGTCTATGAGGAAAGTGATCCTACTTCTTAGTTGATTTATTACCTCGGTGGCTACTTTTAAGCGTTCATCAACACCGCATGATGTGCTTTTTGTATATTGTGGTTCCATTTGGAGTAAAACAAACAATAAAGAGGGGTAAGGTTTAGGATGTAGCCACATTGGGATAGACAGGTCACTACTGTTCTTTTGTTTTGTCTGCAAAATGCAGAAACAATCTGGCAAACTAAAAGTTCAGTTGACCGCTTTTTCTACCTCTTTTTAAAAGCAGGTACCCATTGCTTCAAAAATAGTTTTGAATTCTGAATTTTAAATCTGCCACATGACCTCAATTAGTTTGAGCAAGATATATTCGCTTGAGGGTGGACTTCTGATTATGCTATTATCGTCTGTATTTATTTACTTTAAATAAGAATATCACAAAATAACAAGCCATTTATTGCCACACATGTTACACATAGAGGAATTAGACTTTAGAATTATCCTGGCTGCATTTATAAAATATAATATATATATTGTTGAAAGGCCTAGCGACGTGGCCTCTGTGGCCAAGACAGTCATTACTTCAACCTCTCCGCCCTTACATAAGAAGAACATTGGCTCATTTTCTATTTATGAGACACTCATGAGACACTTGTTGTTCGGATCTTGCCCAGATGACACATCCGAATCCCGACCAGATAGCATCAGACCACAGCAGTACTCACAGTCTGAGCCCTGTGATTAGATTTTGAGTGAAGCAATCTTAAATTTGAGTGGTGCAAAACCCCAGATGTTTTGGCTTTTTTTGCCGTTGAGAAAAAAATATTTATTTTCAAAGTGGTTGAATGCATTATGCTGAATATCAGGTATGCTGGAAAAATTACTTGTCAACATGCAATTTTGCTATGATTTAGAAGGAAGCAAATTCAAGAGTTTGGAGCAGATGCATGTGTGTGCAACCAATATGCACAGCAGGAAAATAGACAAGAGTGCATTGTCCCTTTCTTATGCTCGAAACCTATCAAACCAATCAAATGGATTTAACTTGATAATGACCATCATCTCAAAAGTTGGCGTTTTTTCTTTTAAATGTAATACGCATTATCAAATTTGGAAAACAATTCTTTATGCTATTTAAAGAAAATATAAGCCCTGCTGTTTTTGGTCATCTCTCAGCATTAATCAATATTGAGTTAAGCAAGTATTTGCCGTATTATTATTGATCCTGGAAAACGGAATGTTTAAAATGTTTGTTTTTTTTAACCAGTAATTTGTTGTTGCTGTTGCTGTATGCCCTAATTACAGTGTATTCCATGAACACTAGCCCCTTTTGAATTCTCCAAGTGACAGATCCCCCACTTATTGTGTCTATGTTGGATAAATTGGACAATTTCCAAAGCGTCACTGATTGCACTGATTGTGTGCTGCAATAACCCCGAACACTGGGATAAATTGAACATGCTACGCTATCAGGATGATTGCATGACTACGCTCTCGAGAGGGACGCAACGTGAGTGTCAGCTGCGAGCTCGCTCTCCGGAGGTGGAGGGGTGGAGGGAGGGGGGGGGGTTTGGGGGGAATCAAAAGGACAAATCAGCAGGAAAAAGTCGCTGCTCAACTCATAATACCTTAATCACAGCGCTGGAGCAGCCACGGATAAGTGGAATTTGATTTACATCTGTTCCTTGTGATACTTGGGATGGCTGGACACACTCTTCACTCTGGTGAGTGTTGTCTCTATCAAATCCAATCTGGTAAGAAGCCACGGGTATGAAATTGCATTTGTGATTACTGACTCCGCCTTTTGCCTGCGTGGAACGTCTAGGTATGCTTTTCCTCAACTTTTCTACCGCTCCACCTCCCGCTCCAATCAAGCTTCTCCACAATGGATTGAGGCTGTGTCCGTTGATGGTGCTGAGCTGAGTGTCTAATTATTGAGAACCTGACACTTCTGCCCTGTGTTGAACATTAATCCATCATTGTAACCGTGCATTAGTGTCGACACAAGCAGGCGCCCAGAGTGGATTTAGAGAGCGAGCAGTGTGGAACTGGAGCCCTGCATCCAGAGATGCGGTGAGAGTGCCGGGGATGGATGCCAGCCAGGGCGGTGTTTGCTTCTCGGTGTCAGTCTGTGATCTACTTTCTGCGTGATCTGAGGGACTCCGAAGTCAACTTTGTTTCCTGCACTGCTGTCAAATACATTCGGGAAATGTGCTTTTTCCTTTTTACGTTTTTATTTCAGCACTTTTCCCGAGAGGCAATTTCATGAGTCGTACTGAATGGCCAAAACCAGCATTTTCATAAACAATTTGATTTCATTATATTCACTCAATTGTGTTTTTTGTTTGGATTGAATAAAATCTTTTTTTGTAAACTCTTTTGATGATTGGTTGATACTTCAAAAATAAAATGCATCATAAAACACAATTTTGAAGCAATAGGCGACCAAATCAAGGTTTTATCCTTTCAATCAGCCTCGCCGTCACGGTCACATTCTTTTTCCCAAAGTTGTTAACAATTGCACCAAGCACCAAGCTTTTTAAGTAGTTGCATTTAACTTGCTTTTATGTTTGGTAATTATTAACATTTGGAGAGAAAATTGGTCTGCTACTTTGAAATTTTAATAATTTAGAGTATCTGGTGCAAACGTTTTGTGAAATGATTCACCGTAACTCAAGGTTTGTCGTTGAAAGCTTGCTTTTCAAAAAAAGGGGCTTTCATGATCTAAACCCTTTGTGTCCTAATGAATAGAAAGCAACTGCAACCACAAAATCTGCAATCTTATTTGAAAAGCTGTATCTTGTATTAGTAATAACGTCTAAAGGCGAAGGCCAGTGTATTCAAGTAAATGAAAAGAAGTAAATATTCAAGTAAATATTTGCTGTGAAAGCACATACCTCTGTTCAGGGATGCAGAGCTGTTGATGTCGCCGGTCATGAAAGAAGACTCTGACTGTTTTCTGACTGTGTCGTTCCACATTCGACGGATGCGGCTCTGCAAGGACAAAACAACATGCCAAACACGTCAGAATCCACTCTGATCTTTGTCAGAAGTACAGCTAAAGGGTCAAGGTCTGCACACGAAGGGTAACTTCATTTATGAAAATGAAAATCAACCACACATACACAACATCATTGTATGTTTGTGAAGATCTTTTTTATCCACCTACTTTCAAGAACAATTAAAGGGTTGAATATGAAACATAAATACACTGTACGCTTTTTAATAATACATTTCTTAAGCCATTAAACATGTCTGCTATGGGCTAAGAAACATCCAATTAAAGATGAGCACTCGTACTGGGATAGATGAAGTCAATGATAAAGTGATCAGTCAAGCTCTCCAAATAAGTGTCTCAGGTTTCAAATGCTCAATCCAAAAGGGCTCATCCTGGTTAATTATGTTGGGTTCCTTGGGCTGTTGCACAAGTTGAGGATCTGGGTATTCAACCACAAAGCTGAATCCATCCTACGACACACGGGCTTGGCACACGATTTCAATATTGATACACGGATCGGTGATGGTGAAAATAACTTGTTGTAAAATGAAATGTTTAGCGAAGAAATGCCTCTTATTGAGGATAATTAATGCTCATTTTTAAGTGGTTTTGGATTGATATTTTTAATAATACTATTCCACAAGAGTATCATCCCTCCACTGCAAGGACACCAATTTATTGTAAACCAAAAGCAAACTGTAGTACAGCAGCAGGGCCCGTGACAATTTTAAGTTAACAGAAATCAGCTCAACTAAATCATCTGCACTGCCATCACCATTACCTGAATTTGGAACAAATGGCACTGCGCCCTTTCCTCCTGAAATTTTCAATTTGCCATTCAAATGTTGAGCATGTTGTTATACATTCAAATTTCTCTGTCCACGCAGATGTGTTATGATCAATACGGCCCTTCTGTGTCCGCCCCAGGTCACAACTCTTATAATCTAACAGGAAAATACACTGACACAAACGACCTCATTAACATATTTTACGTCATGTTGGCCCCCGGCACTGAAGAGACAGATGGGCTGGAAATGACACTGTTGCTACTTCTCGATATTTTGGACGAATGAAAAAAAAAACCTTGAACCATTCATAGCCAGCGGGTTCCAATGTACTTTTCTGATTACACATTCATTTAGAAGCCTCAGAGTAAGCAATAAACAAGCATCTTTCTGAGTGTCTCCATTCCCGTCCTGCTGATATAAAGCCACTGAGCTTGAGGTTCGAGCAATCTTGTCAAAGCACTGTGTATAATTAAAGGCTTTCATCTGTGTGCAGAAACAGGGTTGTACGGTGGGTTGCAAACGCACGCTCGACTCCAAGGAATATTTATGTAAGTGGACTGGAAGGAAACCACAATCTTTATAATATGCAAATATGTTCTAATTCGGTGTATCATAGCAATTCGTCGTACACTTCAGGTCAATGCGGGCAGAATCCACGAACGCTCAACTTTTACGAGGGGACAGGATTCACATACTTGGGCAGAGAGTCCACAAAGCTCGAGCCGATCCTTCAGTCAGCGCCGATGCTAAACATTTAGGTAATCCATTTTTGTTTTTAGCTCAACAGGCCCGCTTGTTACCCTACTATCACTTCCGAAGGCAAAGCTCCGTCGACATCTAAAACCCAATGAGAGTTGGCCTTTCATGCTGAAGACGAAAGAAAACGACTGTAGAGAGAGAGGGTAGGACTGCGTTTTGCCACCTGCGACCCAGTGGAGTAACGTCCCGGAGCACGGGAGGCGGTGCCTTTTCCAGAGCCGACGGAGCTGTCCACACTTTTGCCACTGCAGCAGTGGGTACGCAGGCATTTGCCGTACTCCTTACGCACCTGTACGGAATAAAGACACAGCCACAGTCAATGATTATTAACCACCAGACCAAATCCAGGGGTAACAACATCCTTTTTGGAGCATTTGGAGAAGCCCCTCTGGCGTCATTGCCGAAGCGCGACCCAACGATCGCCTGGTTTCACACGGCACGTCCTGTCAATGACTCCGTACCTTTTTCTGCAGCACACAGTGGAAGATGAAGATGAACATTCCTTGCAGGGAGTTGAAAATGGTAAACAGGTAGGCCATGACCACAGTGCTCTCGTTGACATACATCAGGCCAAAGGCCCAGGTCAGGCCCAGCAGGCATAGCAAGGCGATAGCTCCAATGACCCAAGATCTGGAACACAGACAAACAGCCATCTTAAAAAAACAGGTGTCGTAGTTGTTGTGCTGAAAGTGCTTTAAATCTGGTTTGCACACAGGGATAAGAAAAATAATCAATTGTACACAACGCAACATTTTGTGACAATAAATGGAGGTGGAAAGTCACAACTTTAACTGAAATGTGTACCACTAGTAAACTAGATATGAAAGAAAACATCAGTTCAATGTATTATCTAATCCACAGGGAGAAAAGGCACACAAATGACATGAAATGGGGAGAAATTGATGAGAAATGACGGTGGCTTCTTCATTTTTTCATCCTTTCACTTTGCTTAGTTGCACTCTGTCAAGCGATGCCATAGACGGTTTGAACTGCATATTTGTACATACGAGAACGCGGTTCTGCATAAATGGTAGAGCAACAGAACATTTTCATTAGCAGGCTATTTAAATGAGTACATGGGATCAGGAAGGGCTCTATCTTCATGCGGGGTACACTCTGAGGGAAAGTGCCCCTTTCTCTTCACCTGCACCCTTTTAGTAAAGAGGCGGAGTTGAGACGACTATCGGGCTCTTGCCCGCGTCCGTCATGTCCGACAGCCTGCATGCTGGACAGTCTTCCCTTTCAGTGGGATTAAGTGCTTTCACAGCCTCCTGAAGGAGGCCGTTATGTTTTCTCTCGGCAGCCTCTAATCTGAGCGACGGGTTTTCTCAAAGTAAAACTAACGCACACAACCAGATCATATTCATTCAGTATTGCGAAGCTGTTGGATACAGCTAGATATTTTGGCTCCCAAGTTAATGCCATTTGTTATGGTTACATTTGACAATCAATTCAATAAGTCCATAACTATACTTTGTCATCACCAAACGTATTTCCTGCCGTTAAATTAGGATAATTCAGATATTTTAAGTATTTATCTGCTACTTCTAGCTTTTTATGTCAACCTGAATTTTCATATTGGATGTCGAAAAAATGATTTATAACTGTCAAATATAAGCGCTGTATCTACATTACAAAGCTAATATAGCTATAGACTGCACTGTGAAGATGCAGGTGCCATTTAAAACTAATCTTGCTTGTCACATCTGTGGGCTTCGTATATTTAAGACAAGAGTGCTGTGTGCACATTAATGTGGCCTTCATCATGACTTAGCACTTCGCAGTAAATCACGTTCATGATTCAGAGAGGCATCTAGATGGATTCGGCTACGGAAATGTTCATGTGGAGGAGTAAAGTGAAAGATGGAATTATGGGAAAATGGCCCTTCCATTTTTGTCTTACTTGATCTCAGGTTCATAATCTTGATAGCTGAGTGACATGATGAGAGACAAATAAAATAAAATAAGCAGAAATAAATCACATCACATAACAAAACACAAAGAGACGTAATCAAAAACGTGTGACCATAAATACAACGTACACATTTAGACATTAGGAGGGAAACAATACAACATTATTTTGGCAGCGGAGATTAAAGAGGAATTCACAGCATTCACATCCAAACGTCAACACCTGCCGTTCATACATTTTGGGAGGGGATTTGTTAGTGATCTACAGGTGGTAACCCTAATTATCCCGGTTCGCCGAAGTATCTAACTCCCCTCACGGACGCTGGCAGACTTTCACATTTAAGCGGTTATAAATGGGCCAGGTGTGCGGCAAAATAAATGATTTATGAATTCACCAGGGCAACCATTAAACATAATTTTCCCAGGGCTGTCTTAATGACCTGGTTGGAGAGGTACTTCATCACAACGACTGCCCCCGGAATGGACACAGTAACACAAGCAGTGGGCACAAAGAGAACAAAATATTCTCCTCTAACGAGTGACGGCTTTGTCCGCCGAATGGTTTACGACGAAGACACATGAGGTCATAAGTAATGCATCCGAGTGGACAGGATATGAAGAGGCGGCGGCTCCTAACGCACATGGCTTATCTTTGTCTGGAGTTATCAGATACAAATATAGGGGATGAGTTGCACAGCTGCATGGAAGGAGCCGTAGGGCAAAACTTTAGAGACTGCATAAGAGTACCTGAAAAGCATAACAGATCACTTATCAACAAAGGCGGTGCGTTTCAGGCCTTTTTTCCTACGGCAGTACAATATATAGACGTATCTGCCATCTTTGAGGTCTGCAGCAGAAGCTTCATTGTGCCAATCGTCTACTAGAATTTTGAAAGAATTAGCAATTTTGTGCAGAGAACCCGTTCAGACGGGTATCAAATTACCACCAATTTCCTTCAAAATGACTTCATTTGCAGAGCTGCCATTCATTGCAATGTCACAGATCATTTATGCATGAGATTGCAATTGGACAATTCAACCTGGTCAAATCTGTATGAAGTCTTTTTATAGGCTGTTGCTGAGAGGAAAAAAAAGGTTCTGTGACCAAACTCGACAGGGTGTCAATTATTCAACCAAAAGTGTGCGCAAAATGCTAGTCGCCCCCAGTGTTTAAGACATCAATAGCGCAAGGTTTTTTGATGTCGGCATAGACGTTTTGTATCTTTGAAATCACCCTCTTTAGAACATTTCAACTGAAGTTTCTCATCAGTACTGTAAGGCAGCTATGCAAGTCAAAAGTCACACCTTCCTTAACACTTTTTTTTTGTTTTACAGTCCATCATGTTCTAAATAATCCACATTCAGGAGCAAGTTTGCTCTGGAAAATCACAACGGTGCAAAAGTCATGTTGTAATCCATGAATCACAGGGCAGTGGCAGCCGCTGTCACTATTAATGGGTGAGGAGGGAAAAAACACATCAAACACAATACCAAATCTATTCTACATCCTCTATTGAGAAACGTTGCATCTTACCAGTGCCATTCTACAATAACACATCCATCATAATAACGGTAGCTAAAATGAAGAGGAAAAAGAAAAATGGAAGATGAAAAACGCAAAGATGTTATAGATAAACACAACCACGGATAAAAAGGAAGGATGTGTGTGCTTATCAAAAAAAGAAAGGGGGCAGGTAGAAAGAGAAAGTGGAAAAAGAGATGAAAGATTCAATTTAAAACAAAGCAGTTTGATGAAATCTGAACCAAAGATGGGACATCAAACACTAAAGAGGAACAGCAGAAATATAACACAAAATAGTACACAATTCGTTAAACAGAGATGTCTTGACTTAATTAACCCATAATATCATTATCATGGTCAAACTGGTTCACTCGTAGAGAAGCTAACTAGCAAAGTGAGCTTTTCAATGACAGATTAAAACTGAAACACTTAATTCCCCATCATACTTACCGGTTTCTACCGGTTTATGCAGAAACACACCGTGACATGATGCGCTTGGCTCAACGGGACTTTCAGTAAGGCCGGTTGCCTGAATCGGCCGTGTGTTGAGAAATGGGTCTGGACCTAAACACCGTGTCAGATGAACGAGGGCTGACAAAAGCGCCACTGCTCCAAACCATTTTCCAGCGGTCACGTAAAACCGACTGTTTCGAAGTGAGTGAGTCTCGGGGGGGGGGGTCACGAGGTCAGTTGTTTCGTACATTATGAGGGGCCAGTGCAATAAATCACACGACACAGAGAGCTCCAGCGGTCAATATTTTACTGCAGAACAAACCACGCAATGTGTCTTGCGCCACCAAAGACGGGCAACATACAGAACCGCCATGACAAATGTTATCTGGAAAACTATTACAGTGTTCTTTTGGAGTGGACCTGCTGTTCCCGGCGCAGTCGTGGTCCGCAGCTCCACCAAGCAATCTTGTTCCACACCGTTCCTCAGTACATACGAGCCAATCGAGGGGCTGCAGGTGGATGTGCCTGCGATGCTGCCGGGGTTTGGATCACAGAGGACGTTTGATGTACATGGTGCGTATGTCTGAGGGTTAAACAAGCTTGCGCTTCTGAGACCTTCGCTGGGCTGCTCTCGAAAAAAAATATATATATAATGGGAAAGGCCACGCATTCCAGAAGCACAGAGGACGGCCGGATGTACATTCAGGTCACTTTGCGATCTGCTGCACAATTCTCTAGTCGTGACATAATTGCTGTTCTTTCATTCAAAGTGCACAGAAGCGATTTACGTTTTCTTTCTACACTCCCTAATTAAATAGGACCAAAATACATAACCTGTTATATCCCAGAATCTTATTACAAACTGGGAAAAAGGAGGGGACACTGAATGTCTTCCACAACGAAGTCACTTCGGAACATCTCCAGTTTGCATTGACCTGTCATTAACATTGCAGCAAAGTATTTGGATGTGATTATAGCTTTGACAAAGCATGGCAGAAAGAGCACCTGTAAATAGATAAGCAATAAAACAAGGCTCAGGTTTCACCGCACTGTTTACATTTAAGTGCGTATTGTGTCCCTTAGTTGCTAGGACACATTTGTAGCAATCGTTAGTTAAGTTATAGCATTAAGTGAGCTTGAACATATGAAGAGCCCATGTAGTTGCTAACTTCAAAATCTAGCAACGTCAGTGTTTCTGAATTCAAAATGCACACATCTCGGTAAATCCAGCCTCTCTGCTTCGTGCCATGTCGAGGTAACTGTAATGTCAGTCACTTTGGGCCTGCTCAAAGAGCAGCACTTTAAAACCGCAGCTCCAGCCAGGAACATCCCGCCGTGAATTTGTAATTGAAAAACAAAGCAGGGTCTGACATGGTGCAGCTTAAGCATGCTATGTCATGCTTGCAGGAGATTCTTTTTGTGTGTATACTGTGTGTATCAGTGTGCCGCGAGGAGCAGGGCAGACAGGGCCACTGTGCCGCTGAGACACAAACAGTGATGTGATGCCACAGAGAAAGAGCCTGAGCGCCGGCCATAAAGTAGACTAATGTGTCCAGAGTGGCTGAGAAAAAAAGTGGAGGAGACAGCAAAACAACTTTACGCCCGGTGTGGAACGAGACCGCACTGACACCAGGCGGCTTGAGCTGATACCAAAGACAAGGACTGAAAGTGCGGTTTCATTCTACAGGGCAAAGGGATCTTAAAAACATCTGTTTATTCACATCCCGTCGGACATGAGGAAACGTTTGGAAGTCTAGCTGACAGTTTGCCGTCTTGGTTTGGACGACTGATCCTCTCTGTTGTTTCATAAACATAGATGCAACAGTGTGTACCGTACGTATACAAAATACAAAAACTTTCACTAGCTGAAACTCACTGTACCTTTGCAAAGCAGACATAAATTACACTTGTACAGTAATATATGTTGAAGTATTCAAACTTATGTTCTTCAGACATAAAGAATCCGACTTTCTATCATCATTATCGTCGCTCAAGCTTCCACGCCATCCGGGAAGCAACCAGGCAAAGGCAGATAACTAGACCCAAACAAACAGAAAGCACCGAGCGCGATTTGAATATTCATTGGCGGCTTGTTGACATCAAGATAACACCTGATCAGGCATGTCAGCTCGTCTCGGGGCCCTTTCCTGCGCAGACAACAGCGTTCTTCAGATAGCGGTGGAGACGCAGAAGAAGAATACCCGTTTGACTGTAACCATGCCTGACACAACCTTTCAGCCTAATAGGAGGTGCTTACCTCGCAGCCTCAGACTCCAGGACCCCTGGGGTGGGTGTTCACACCCCTAAGTGCTTCTAATGAGGTTTTTGAAATATTAAAGGGGGGGTTGGCGGCAAGAAAGTGTGAATTGTTCGGGAACATCGGCTTGAATACAGAGTAAGATATTTAACCAAGGCTTCATTAGACTGAAGAAATCTGAATAGTATCTCGCACAACTCGATTTCATCTGTCGGAGTGCATTTGGTGGGGGGCGACATTCTTTCCATCGGGTAACAAAACGTCATGAGGACTGCTATTTCTGGAAGACTTTTGTGGATATTTCAGGTGATGCGAGTACTCTTACTTGATGTTGTCCAGGCAACCAGAGTCTGGTTTCAAGATGGCCGTGTGATGGAACATCTTGTAGAGAGCGATGCCCAGGAAGATCACATTGAGCTGAGGGACAAACAGATTTGGTGAGAGAGAGAGAGAGAGAGAGAGAGAGAGAGAGAGAGAGAGAGAGAGAGAGAGAGAGAATTTATGTTTCCTTGTTTCAGTTCCTTTCATTTTAAATCAGAGCACTTTGTAGCACAGAGCTGGACCGCTGCAGCCAGACTTGCTTTCCCACTTTGCCAAACAGAGCACAAAATCCTACAAACCCTCTATGGTGGTGTGACGAACTAAACAGAGAACGGTGAGACGTGACAGCTGCATACTGGTAAGGGGGAGCGTTTCCGTCTGACTTATTCAAACTTGTCTCACACTCAGAGACAAGCACAGGGAATAACACTGCTGCAGAGCTTGTTTTCTTTGTGCAATTGTGTCTAGAAAGAAAATGGGTAACGCGTTCTACGAGACCCGCGTCATCTTGAACATACTTGTGTTGTATTATTGTAACTATTGCACTGGTAATTATAGTTGTTGTGGCAAAGGTTACCGTGTCTTATATTTACTGACGTTCACAGCTGAAATTAAGCCTATATGAGCTGAGTAAACAGTTTGCCCAAACCGTCACCAAATTCACCGAGGAGAATTGGAGCGGAGCTCCTTTCTTGCGTTTAAACCTAATGAGTCAGTTATGAAGCATACACAGATGCATTGTTAATGATTGCACCCAACTGGAGCCACATTATGTGTGTTGGGATTCAGCAAACAGCTGAGCAGTACGACCTGTGCTACGACTCGTTGGAATGTCATTCTGACAACAGATTTAAAGCGGATGGATCAATACACGGGATATGTCATTGGAAAATTGGGGCTGCCCTAGTTAGGAAAGGCACAGAAAGTATGTGTGTGTGTCCTCCTGCATACTACTTGTGTATCTACACCCAAAGCTGTCCGCGTGGCTGCTAAAGATACTGTGATTTGGAACAGGAACAGAATCAATCATAATCGCAGTGCGCATTGCTCGAACACTGCACACTGAGTCCCCCCCCCGCCCTCCCACTGCCCTCCTCAACCCCCACTAATTGTCTTAGTCGGTGGCTGCAGCGGGGTGACAAACTGCAGTATATGCTCAACAGGGCAGAGAGAAGAGGGAGGATAGGAGTCAGAATCAGGAGTCTCGGTGGAGCATTTAAGCGATGACCCGCAGGCTAAGTAGGGTTAATGAGCAGTAAGGGTGGGGGGAGGGGGCTGGTTTGGGGGTAACGCTTACCATAATTATCAAGGTTGCTGGTCCTATGAAACTCCAGATAAAGTAGGTGTCCAGGCGAAGCCAGCAACTGCAATAAAAAGAGAAGGGAGGGACGGGGTGGGGGGGGGGGGGGTACAGGAAGAGATTTGAGGTTATAGCTTCAATTTCCCGCTCAGAGGATATACATCAAGTAGGGGGCTGGAGTGACACAAAGGAATAGGTACTTCAGAACATAGATTGCCGCAAGGGGCTTGGAGAATTATGGCCATCAGTAAGAATTTGGAGGAATGGGGGGCTTCCAGGGGCTAAGACGGCAATAATGATGGCCTTTCATAGCCAAACAGGTGACCTGCGATCAGAGATAAAGAAAAGAACGCAGCGGGATGCAGCTAAAACTGTAATGGATGTTGCCAAAAGGCTGGCAGTGACCCGACTCTAGTACACTTCAATTTGTCGGGTTGAGATAGCAAATTAACATTACAAATGATAATTTATGGATGATTCAATTGGTGCTCAATAGAATCCCAGCTGTATCACTCCAAAGGAATTGGATTGACCTTGACCCAGACAAACATGGTCACACAGTCCTTAAGCACTGAGCAAAGTGTCCTACATGTTCCTATTAACGGCGATGAATCTCTGAGACCGCTGTAATCATGTCAAGAATTAAATAACACTCTCCTGACCTCAGCTCATATCAACAAAGAACAATCAGATCTCCTTTGTTGAGGCAAACTAAGTACAGGCCAGAAGGGTCTGTTGGAGGTGGCGGTGCCCCTTTGAAATGGCAAAAAGAAAGAATAGTTGATTCATGACCTGTGGTTGAATTATTAATCTTTTAATCTCCGCTGCTGCGGCAGACAGACGCCTCCATATTTGGCCACTGGAATATTACAGTTCGTACGGGCGTGTTGTCATTCAGGCTGACACAGCTGAAGTAGAATATACACTGTAATTTCACAGAAAAAAAATAGTTGTCTTGGCTTTAAAATTCCTTTTTATGAAGAAAGGTTAGCTGACTTCTCTGCCATCAAAGCCTTTTCTGGAAGCAAAAGACAATGATCCACGATGCCGTGCACGCTATTGCGGCTCCATCGTCTTAAAGAAAAAGCAGCATTTACAGCAAAATAGCCGCATAACCAAATGTTTCACTTTTCGTTGGCAAATCAACTGGCAGACAAATGAGAATTGATATGAAGTGACAGGACAAACACGGGCTGGTACTTTGTTGCCCCGAGTCGTCTCCATATCAATGGACGAGGGGAGGAAACACAGGAAAACACATATGGAGGAAGAAAGAAGTGAACAAGCGCAAACAAAAGACACACAACACGCACAGGACTCTGGGAGCTCATCTAAGCACATGTTCCGAATGTCGCCGCTTTAAATTATGCCGAAGGTTTCCTTTGTTGTTTACCGTCTTCTTCTTCTTCAGATCACAGAGAGATTTAAAGACTTGGTGGGCGGTGGGAGCTGCGGGCTGTTATTCCCTTCTGCCTCTTCTACCTTCCCTTCTCCACTTGTGTCACGTTTTGGGCTCTTGGAGCACATCTAGTTTCATCTACTTTGCACCATTCCATTAGTGACCAAGCATTAAAAACAGAGAAACGTGTGCCGGTCAAAACCCAAGCCGTGCGTGTGCCGACAGTGCTGTGGCATTCTGCAGGAATCAGAGACGGGCCGTCCCTTTGAGCAAAGGCGGCTTAATCTGCAAAGGAGTCTTTGCAACGGAGATAGTCATTTCATTGGCGTGACAGTGAGCTGGTGACCAAGAGAGAGCGTGAAGTCATGTGACGCGATTGAGCCGAGGAGATCACTGGCTGCGTTTTTGTTTGGTCTCGAGTCCTGAAGGAAATGATGCCTTTAAAGTCGAGATGAAAATAAAAATTTCTTTAAAAAAAAAAAAAACGTTCAGATCACATCGCTAGTAAAATATGGAAAATAGCTTACAACATAAATTGGCAAATCCTATTATAAAGCAGTTTCTTTAAATAATACAAAGTGTGATATGTGCTTATGTGAGCCAGTATTATTAACAGACCAGCTTCTACTAATATTACAATCAATCCATCAATTAATCTGATTTGATTTGATCTGAATAATGTGCTCCATCTGAGTCCTCCTTTTACAAGCTGTTTAATCGGACTCAAAATAATGAATTCTAAATCCCTCATTTAGTTTCACTGGGGAATACTCACTGAACACTGGGATTTATAGATTTGTGCATGTTTGGTAACACCGATGTACAGTAAGAAAAGTTTGGTGCAATGGTTTGATGAGTAGGTCATGGTTTTTTTAGTTGTTTTTTTATCCTGGGTTCCTCGAATTCCGTCCAATGGCTGATACACAAGAAGGTATACTCTTTTTTTCAATATTCTGAATTTCTAAACTACCATTTAAGTGTACAGAATTTTGTTCTGCTCACTGCACTCGAGCAGATTCAAGTCCTTTGCTCAAAGGCACATTTTAGAATAATCAGAGGAATTGAATGGAGGACCTAAAACTTTCTTTGGTCTAGAGATTCGTATTTGATAAACCTTTGAACGGGCAACTTCACAGGCTTTCCTGACCTTCAGGCTGCTGCAGCCTTTTTTAATGTGCTTAGTTACTGGGCCCTCGGCTCACGCCATCTACTAAACCCCGGCTCCCTTTTGACAGCAACTTGTTGGATATTTTCAGCTCAAAGGGATCCCGCCTGTGATACCGCTGCTATGGTTACTGATTCAATTTGCAGCCGGACTATGTGCCCTTCCGCGCCTTTTGCTATTCACCACGTATCACGCCTTGTCCTTCCGCCCATCCTTCAATGGCTGAGTATAATTGTTCCACCGGTGGCAGGCTTTAATTATTCACATGATGCCAAGGCTCAGGCGGTGGCAGCTATCACCTCATCCATCACCAAGAACTATGGCTGCGCCAATCTGCAAATGCACTGTCTGTCAGTTGCGTTGTGCGCAGCCATATGTGTGTGTGTGTGTGTGTGTGTGTGTGTGTGTGTGTGCCATTTATGATAAACATCTTTGAAGCAACCTGCTGATGCTGGTCTTCATTATTTTCAGGAATCAGGAAACATTTTCAGATGGATTTGGGATTAACAGAGGAATGGAGGCCAATCCTCTGCTTGGCAGTACACCGCTTTATAGACCACTTTGAATTTCAGAGGAAAGAGCTTACCGAGGAAGCTTTCGTAGGAAATTCAAAAAGGCAGTCTCTGTCGCGGCCCATCTTTTAGACGGCCCAAGCTGCCACCTTCTCTCTTATTCGCTCTCCGTCTCCCTGCTCATGCGCACTCTCCACCCTCCGTTCCTCTTAATCTCTCCACGCCTCTGTTGTAATTTGTGCATCCTAAAATGCTGAAGACATCAACCATAAACAGCCCGCCAGTCATCCAGAAAAGTCATCTCCTGAAGTGGGCATTTTTCACCGTGGCAACCACGTTGATTCAGCAGCGGGGAAATGTACGCAGCTCGAATAACCATTCGGCTTCATTAAAGGTTGATGATGAGCAATGGCTAATGGAGCGTCAGCGGCAAGATTGTTACGGCCCCTCAAACCAACACAAAACTGTTTGTGTGGCTGTTGATAAAGCACACACAGAATTGTTGTCCATTATTTAGTTTGAGCCCGACCGTCGTCTTATTCTTCTTCTTCTTTAAAAATGATATATTTTGCGATTGTGGGTGTCAACTTTGCCTTCATTTGATGTGTGGCTAAGAGAGCTGAGCAAGATCTTCCATTTGGAGAAGCTTGAAAGCTTGCAGGGAGGAGGAGAGTGTATAGACGGCATGTGTACCAGTGTTGAGGTCTGAGGGGGATGAATGATGTGCAATAATAACCCTCGGATGGTGCTAGCTGTATGAATACCTATTTATACATGACACATACTTATTAATACATGCTTTCCGTCCCTCTTTAATTGCTCTTCTGGTTTGTGGCCTTGTTTCCAAATGACTTTTATGCACCAATGTGCAACTGCTTTAAGTGATAACGATAATGTTCAAAAACTTGTTGTGTACTCACATTCGGTCGGTGCCGTAGCTGCGGTAGTCGACAGCGGCGGAAACGGCCACAATTAACGCCGGGACCCCGTAGCCCACCAGGTAGAAGTAGCGCCGCCGCGAGTGCTCGCTCTCAAACACCTCCACCAGCATGATGTAGAGCTGCACCCCCTCCAGGAACATCCAGGTGAACGCTGCCAGGAAGAAGAAGTGGAGCAGGGCGGCGAAGACAGCACAAGCAATCTGGTGACGGTTTAGAGCGCCAGACACGTACCCGAGGGATAAAGGAGGGAGGGGAGAAAAGAAGGGAGTTTTGAGTATTCACAGTTTGAATCAAATCCGTTTTAATGCCGCCGCTCGAGGGCGCGGTATGACTTCAAGACGGTGTCCTCCGTGTGAGCGAAACTGAGCAGCCTTTTCTGACCTCTGCAGATTTGTGTCTTGCCGACAATTAGCATTGCTAAGCTTTGTTTGGCTGTAGTGACTGGCAGGAGAACCCGGCAGCTACGGCGCCCGGGTGGTGTTGTTTGCTGTAGCCGGCACAGATGACAGAGAGACAGGAAGAAGCTGAGTCAACAGCGCGAGAGCCAATTGGAGCTAGTCGCATTTAAGCCGCGGCCAGGTGTGATGGTAGAGACGCGTGTATGCAAGACTAGGATGCAGGTGACTGTCAATCCACACACTTTCTTATATAGATAGATAGATTAGATAATAAGGCACAGTACTTACATGGATTGATCTAATTATCGGCACAGTTGAACATAACTAGCGTATTTTGTCACTGAAACGGATCCAATTAAATAACTAAAAGGTCGAGTGGACATTAAGTGCAGTCCAGAAGAGTGATCTTAGAGCGGCTGTGAATCTCACCTATAAAACGTTATGGAAGGGAAAAGTTCTAGGGCTCAACCATTATCTTTAACTTGTCCGGGAAGTAACTTTGCAGCTGAACTATGGCCAGTGAGGTTTGGCACTAATAGTAATGTGAATATTTGCAAAGCAAAATATGGGTTTTCATAGCATGAGGCTAAAAAGTAAGGACATTCCATTTCTTTGTCTATGAATTTAGTATTTTCTATAATAATTCCATAATTAATTTGGACCTAAAACACATTTATGAACCGCAGGTAACCTTGGGAGTATGCTGCAAACAATCACGTTAACCAAATAGATAAATATAATTAATAAAACGATCATGAACAAAAACATATATTACAGTGTCTGACCTGGAAATAAATTCACAGAATGCAGAAAAGATCACTCTAGCTCGGCACTCCGCCTCATTAGCGAGCAAAAATGGCATGATTGCGGGACGCTGTAGGTGGAATAAAGCCCTCCGCCAACTGGTATACATGTAATGACTCCACATTTGTCTGCTGCGTGAGTGTTGAGCACACACACTCGAAGATGACTGCGCGGTGACAGCATGCCTCCAGCTGCCATCATGGCTGAGCTCTCACAGGAAAGGAATGCAATGCAAGTGTGCTGGAAGACGGTTAAGTGTACTGAACAGTATAATGCAAATTTGTCTGAAGCGTTAACAAATTGGAAAACTAAACACGAAGGTTGTTGTGGAGTGAACGGATGAATTCCCGTCACTGAGTATGTGAGTTGGCAGGTGTGGTGTTGTGTGTGCGTAGGAGAGTCTTCTCAAGTATGTGTTTGCCTCTGTGCAACCAGAGGACAAAGAGGGAGTGTTTGTTGAATAAAGAGCATCCGTTTTTTCTTCCCTGTCTGTATTTCTTCTCGTCAGTGAGCCTGGGAGAATCAAAAGAGTTCAGAGCCACTGGCCCTCTCCGGGAAGTACCCCTCGCAGCACAGCAGGACACCAAAGGTTACCTTCTCCTCTCAAAAAAAAAAATCCTTGGCTTTTAAATTTACAGAAGAAGACATGGTGAACACTCCTCAATGAAGAGTGATACAAAGCTTTCAGGTGGCCCTTGTGGACGCCTCCAGGGGCCATGTGTTTGAAAAAAGACATATCCAGACACATTCAAGCACCTCTGAGTCACCCCCATGTTACCCGAGTGACAACATGGAATAAAATAAATAATGATGTCACATCTATATTGGCTAAAAATAAATGTTTTACTTTTAAATTGACTATATTCATGGTACCTATAAACACTTCAGATCACCTCATATACAGTGGAATGTGTTTTTACCACAACTGTGTTTAAAACAGGGGTGCCCAACCTTTTTTGAACCAAGATCTACTTTTAAAGTTGATAGTGTATCGAGATCTACCAAGCCATATCGAAAGCCGTAGCGTAACCACAATTTATTGCGCACCTATATAGGACACTGTTATCTGACACATAGATACAGTTTTAACAATCGTAATACATTTATTGAAGTAAATGTGAATTTGCAAAGAATAAGCACAAGTAGGCCTGGGACTGGCCCGTAACAACACAACAGACAAACAACCCAAATAATACAATGCCTAATTCTTTGAACTTTTATAAGAACTAATTCAAGTTGGAAAAGTGGCATTTCTCTACCTTTTCTGGCACTGAGAGGAGGAAGCTAGTCTCTCATAGTCTGGACAGTAAGAGCTGAGTGCCAGCCGTAAGCAGACTGCAAGGTGGTCATCAGTCATGGTGGATCTGTATTTTGACTTGATGATTTTCATATGTGAAAAGGCCAACTCACACAAATATGTTGATCCAAAAAGTGCAGTCAAATTCACTGCAGTTTGTCTGAGGTTGGGGTACTTCTCTTTCTGCATTAGATTCCAGAATTCGACATTCATGTCAGGTGTTGCTCTGGATTTGAGCTCAATGTCATTCTTCAGTGTGAGGATCTCATTCTCAACAGCACAGCTATCCAGGTTAAAGAGTAATGCCACTTTGGACATTATACAATCCACATCTACATTTTTCCCAAATGGAAAACAGAGATAGCTGACAACAGGCTCAATGGATGCAAAGTCAGTGAAGAGCCTGTCAAATTCTGACAAGATGCTCTGCACTTGGTCATCATCAAGTGCGCTCTCAAGCTCCGCCCAGTCTTTGCCCACAGCCTGGGCTGCAAACTCTCACGCGTTGGCTGTGAGACTCACGCATTTGATCGGTTTCACACGCTCTCACGCCACACCTCCGATTTCTCACGGCAAAGAAATTGGGAGACTACCATTGAAAAAGAGAGGCGCCAGAAAACAACAGTAATGTAAGGTTCCCTTTCCTGTCCATGGTCACGTTTACAACGCGCTCGGTATCGCGCTGCGCGGATACGTCGCCCATCAGCGGAGCAGAAAGCGCGTCGTCGGTGTTCGTCCCCCCCGGCCGGTCTCACGCCAAGGTTTTTGGAAAAGTCGGCAGCTCTGTTTCCCTGTTTCTAAATAAATCTATTAAAATCAAATTGATGTCTCGAGTTCCATTATCGAGAGTCGCTACAGTAGCGCGTTAGGCTGCGCTGGTAGGTGCATTGCATTATGTGACAATCTTTGGATCCATTTAAATCCCTATCTGTTATGTTCATGTTCTAGTGTCTAAGTTTATGTGTGTTTTTCTAGGTTCTGTGTGTTGTGCTCAAATGTTACTGTTTAATGTGTAAGAGTGGGCACCATGACCCAACTTAGTATGGCTGTGGGTGAAGTTCTGTGTTCAATGACTCAACAAAGTGTCCTGGGGTCAAAATTACCCGCGATCGACTGGTAGACCGCGATCGACTGGTTGGGCACAACTGGTCTAAACAGATCTTCGAAAATTAGAAACATGTTTGGCGTCAAACTCGATAACCTTTTTTTCTTTTTCTTTTAAATGCATCACCCTGTAGTACTTTGTGACGCATGCTAAACGCATCAGTGCTAAATAAATCGATACTTAAAAGTAAAAATCCATCAGCGGTAGTCTTACCGGCTGATCACCCCGATTGATCCCCACCAGGAACAGGGACTCAGCAATGAACAAGCTGATGCAGAGGTTCTTGTGGATGGTGTTGCGATCACTCTGGAGGCCGCGGAAGAAGCAGAAGGTGAAGAGGCTGATGAGCAGGCAGACCAGGGACAGGAGGATGCCGACCCAAGTAATGACGTCCAGAAGCACGTCGTGAATAGGGTCCGAGTTCTGTTGGGGAAGTGATGAGAGAAAGGGGTCAACACAGTCCAGTCTGTTACTGGTGTTCATTATACTTTTAATATAGTACTCTTCTTATTATTACTCATAACCACATTTTAGCATTTGTCTAAAATGGAAAGACACAATGCCATTACTATGCAATTTAAAAGGAAGAAATTGAAAACATGACCACCCATGATAATCCGCCAGTCCTTTCAAGCAACAACTCGGAAGCTGCCGTTTTGATTATTTATTTAGTTTTTGCTTCAAGGCGTAAAGTGCATACAAGCATCCAATACACCACGTGGCTGTGAGCAAGCCACAGGTGGCGGATATGAAGCATGAATTAGTCAGTGTGAATCAATCTAAAATACGGTTTCATTTTGGTCAGGCAACAAAGTGGAACAAAGTGAGCAGTGCAAATGGTGGCAGGTGTCTAAGACCGGCACAACAGAAACACAATCAAACCACAACATGGTCAAGCTTTCACTGATCCTTTTAGGGCATTGTCTCTTTTCAAATTGTAATTTGCCACCAAAGCCAGTTTGGGGCACTAAAATGCCTTTTGCTGGCAATAAATGTGGGCCTTTATGGGAGAGATAAGGATCAACAGTGACTCCACTGCAGCCATGAAAGAAAATTTACATCAGCCCATAAAAGCAAAGTGCACACAGGGATACTTGGACAGAAGTGGGCAAAGGCAACACCCACTAAAACAGCGGAATCTGCAAAATGACCAACTTCTGCGGCCTTAAACACATGAATGAACAGACGTTACAAGCGTCATTCTGCCAAGATCATTCCCAGGTTCAAACTGAGGACAGTTAGGGTTGGAGCTTTATTAGCAATGTGTAATAGCTTGCATCCCGTCACCAGATACAGGCCATGTGCCTATCGGGCGTAATCAGCAAACTTTAAGCAAATCCCTCTAAAACAGTGATAACAAACTTGTGATGGAAGATTGCAAATAGCTTTCACAAAAAAGAACACAACCTACCTACTAGTAATAAATACACATTTTCAACCGATGCTAACAGATGAAAACATTGTAGTATCCACCTAAAATCATTGTTAGTTAAATGACAACCGATTCCATTTGGAGGATGGCAGGTGGTGTGCATGAAGGGTGTCCTTGATTTGTCTGACAAGGCTGTCGGGGGTTCATCTGAAGATTTAACCGTGCACAAGCACACGTCAGCGAAACAGATGCCCAGCCTCCCTGTACAATACGCATATGGTACCAAGGACTGCGCTGTCATCTGACAATTCAGTATCATGGCACCGGAACGGAAGAAAAGACAAATTATGACACAGGTTTAAATAAGTGTCTCCTATATGTAAAAAATAGGGATGGGCATGACAGAGATAATTACTGTATGCAAGCACTTTGGTCAGCTTTTAAAGCTTCCTAATTTCCCAAAGGGATTGTCCTCTTTTTCATCCTGTTGGGCTTTTGATTCAAAGAAGCGAGTGAAAGCGGCTGTGGTGGTTAAGGGAGGTGTGTGTGGATTTGAAAGAAATCTGCAATCCTCCGGACGAGTATCATGCCTGCTGGGACTCCGGTACCATCTCGTTACAACTTTTAAAGTGAATTGACGACTACGACTGAACGCTAATGAAGATGAAACGGGAATTTAAAGAGAGAAGAATGTTGAATATAATTAATGGCAGACGGCTAATTAGCAGTGACGGACAGTTTAGAAAAACAAAACAGTAAAGGTGAAAGCAATGATTTCTTAACAGCCTATAGATCCAGGACTGACACCGTAAATCAACTACCAGACTTCAGAGGGCAGTTTGGCGGTTTGAGATCAAAGGCGTGTGGTGTGGGGAGGTTTGGCCTTCAGCGAATCATGTTTCACTTTGAGCTATAGCGTTGGACAAACCCAAGAAAATGTTTGCTTGTACTATATGTTTAATATCTCATGACAAGCCCATCTTTAAATCATATTTAGACCACAGACAGCAGTATTCTTAGCAAGGAGAGACGGACTATCGTTTATGTCTTTTTTTATACCTCCTAACACGAGTCAAGTCGGAGTGAGGAGACTTGGGTCAGTGACGTATTGCACAGCAGCCTTGTTTGGTGGCGGCTCGGCTAACGCTAGCACAGAGGGGAACAGATGCTGATCATTAAGGGGCTCCGGTACAATAACAGCCGCAGTGCTCCTTGAGTCTGGGGAGTGCGCTCTTTTGGATTTTCCTGCCTGATGAGCCGTTGTGTATACGTTGGAGGGCTGGAGGGGGTTGGAGACGGGGGACGGGGGACGGGGGGGCAGGCACAAAGCAGACGACTGCCTGTGTGTATGTGAATCCCTGTACCCCTGTATGAAAGGGATCTGAATTTACTTGAGTTACTTTAGAGGGGTGCACACAGCTCATTCTTTCCTGTCCAAAAGTATTAGTATATTATTTAAAAATATATATATATTTCTGTTTGTGTTTGCATTCCCTGTACGTGCGGCGCCCGCTGCACTACACAAGGTATCGATGCGGTGGGGGCTACTTGCTGTGGTGCATTGTGAGCAGCCCCTATGGCCTCCCGGGCTGGCGAGCTGTGCACTAGCTGCAGGCTCTATCCATCACAATCTTGCATTCAATTGGAGCGGGGCCAAGTCAGAGAGACAGACAAGGCAAGAGAGTGAAAGACAGAAAGCTATAGAAACACGCTTTCGTCTGGGAGGTGGATGATGGCAGAGACGACGCCGGCTGCAATGCCTCTGCTCAAGTTCCCTTTTACCGGCAGGAGGGCAATTGGCAAATGATATGCAGAGCCTCTGCACCTAACCTCGCACCAACCAAGCCTCGATGATGGGAATCAGTCTAGGGGTCTCTGAAGTGGGCAGACGCAATTTGCTCTGAGATCCTACTCGCCGTGCAGCGAGGGCGGTCGAGTCATCCAGCATCCATGTTACTTAGCGGGGCGAGGCGCATTTATTCGATTTGCCTTCCAATCTTTCCCTTTGACATTTTTCTCTTATTCTTTAAACACAAATATTTTTCATTGCAGACGGATGCCTGGCGAGATTATCTTTGTCCCTGACAAAACAGCACGAAATAAGGTTTCCTGGCACTCGAGCAGGACGGCAAGGAGGCGCAGAGGTGTCAACAAGCTTTTTGCTGCGCACACCGGTCGGGCCGACCGGCCCAATCAAATTTCAATTCTGCATCTCTCACATCTAATGAGGTCTAACAGTCCACGTCCGCGGCCAGACTCTCCCGAAACAACTGCCGGAGAGGGCGAAAGCGGTGAGGAGGACGGAGCTTCAATCCTTCATACCCCCCAAGAACTGCTCTCAGCCCGGAGCCGTGGAGCCAATCCAATTAAAATGCATAAATCTCGATATGCCTCCGGTGCTGGGCTTTGACTCGTGAAATACGGTCAGGCAGGGCAGACAGTTGTGCTAAGGGGTAGTGGCCCACTGCAGGGAGTCATGTGACAAGTTCACCTCCGGTATGACCAAGGATTTACGATCGGCACAGGGATGAGGAACAGTCGCGGAGAGGGCATATGAGTCAGGGGTCCTGGCAAATTCGTCACATTTAAAAAGGGCTGGGGGAGGGAATCCAGCTCGCTTGGCGGGAGTTGACATTCAACACATGCTGCTAATGTCACAGTGTGTTCTAAGCTACAATAACTATGATAAAATGCCCGAGCAGGACTTTATGTTGCCATGGCAGTGAACCCGCCTGTTTTTTTCTCTATATGCGCCCTAACCGTATGAATAGAATCATTTTGAAGCATCTCCGAACTGTGTGTATAGTACTCAGCATAGTGAAATGCACAACTCACCTTGACTGTCCTCTGTCATGATAACTACTGTCTGATGGTGCCATGGATGGACATGTTTGATAAAGACAGTGATTAATGTCACCCAAATATCACCCTGTTCATCATCTAGTGGGATGATTGATTTATATGAACTGGTCTATTGAGAATAGTCTCCACTTACCAGTAGCTCAATGCCTCCATGGGGCCCTTCTCAGCACACCCATCTTCCACGTGAATATAAGCATGTAGCTGGAATGGGCATGAACCACTCGACTAACCCTTGTTGGAAGCACACCCTGATGAAATGGTGGCCATTCAGGGTTCGCTATTGTGACAACCTGCATCTGCTTAAGCAACACCCAAGTGACTCATAAAGGTTCAAGTGGAAGGAATTTATTCTGTATTTAATAGCTATTAAACATTTTGAGCCAGGGTTAATGTGTTAGGCTCAGAAAGAGGAAAATCCTGAGCCTTCTCAGCAAAGTCACATTCAAGTACACTCGCTCCAAAATCAGAATCTATCATTCTGTAAAGACACCAGAGACGTATAATCTCTCACACGCAGCTGCCGTCGGTGAGTACAGTTTTAATTTGTTTATGCGGCCAACGGCGCTGCTCGGATTTCAGGATCAGCCAAAGGCATCAGCTCGCTGGTTAGATAGCTCAAAATGAGTTTGCAAAGGGCTCGAGTGGCAAGACAGCAGTGACGGCACTCAATGACCTTGCAATCACCCAGGACGAGGTTACCCGATTCGCTGTATCTGACGGATATCCTTCTGTAGGGGTGATTCTGATAAGGAACAGGCATGCTTTAGCTATTTGATTTTAATGAGTTCTTTTGAGCTTGCCTCTTGGAAGAGATTTCACATTGGGTAGTTTGAAAAAAACAAAACGGTGTACCGCATTGCCACTAAGGCGCTAAACATCCGTGGGTACGCAGATATTCAAACATCCACAACATGTGAGTTGGAAATTATTCGGAGGAACTAATTGACTTCAGACATAATTAATCCCGATGAGACACAGTCTGGAGGTTCTCCACGGCTGAGTCTGTCTAATAATCTCATGTACAGCACATTCAAGTTCAAGGGATTTTTATGAATTTGAATGGTTGGGCAACTTGTTCACCTTCACCCACACAGCGACGGGGTGAGGATGATTACAAGGCAGTGATTGTTAACTGGGATATTTTGTCTACAAACATTATAACTAAGGTTTAGTAAGTAAGACCCCAAGAAATCATTGGGCCTATGGTTGGTAACTGATCTAAAGATTAATAAACATTAAACGTTAGGTATGATTACATCATTACGTAGAATGGTTTTCAAACAATCACATCTCTTTTGTGGAAAGCCCATCTACAAATCAACTCTTCCAGACAGGACTGGCATATTTTTCTGCTAGATATGAGCAGGATAAAAAAACAAAAAGTGTATTCTCCTCATCAAAACTGTTAAAGTTCAAGCCTCCGAAACCATTGGGAAACTTCAAATGCAGCCTGAACTTGGTTCTAAAATTGTTACACTGGGAAACGCATGACAGGCGACAGCTTATTAAACTCTACATAAAGATCCCTGAATATAACATTGTCATTATCCACAGCCGACGTGCCCACGATCCATTGGCCAAAACATCAAGATGAAAGATGATGGTGATACTGTACTAAGCATCCGTCCTCCAAAGGAAATTGTAATTGCAGCTCGCCTATCTCTTTTTTTTTTCAGCGATGCCACTGAGAAACAAACAAGGTTAGAATATTATCTGCTGCTCTGAGGGTAATGAGTAATAACAATGCAGATATCAGCAGTGGTATGGTCTGTTGCCATGGATACAAAAACAGATCGTTTCTTCAATTTATGAAATTCCTCTCACCCCCTCGCGCATACACATTCCTCCTTTCCCTGCATGCAGTGTGTTCCCAGATACAACAGTGTGACAGTTCAGCGAATGAAAAGTCTTTGTATCGTCCATTCAGTGGCACCTCCCAACAAGCGGCCTTTTATAACAACAGAGTGGAAAAGATAAAGAATAAGGGTGGGGGAGAAATAACTGTCACTCAGCCCTGGCATGCAACTACGGTCCACTTTCCTCTGCTGAATGCAGTGCAACAAGCTAATGTTAGGGATTGGCATGACAGAAAGCACTCCTTTTAACGCTTCCCTTTCCCTGATTTTTTTGCTGCTTTGCTTTCACCGCGTGAAGGATCCCATTCTTCGCGGCTCCCTCTCTATTCCAGACTCGGCTTCATTCCTGCAAAGAACGTTGTGGGTCCAAAAAGTCACGCTGCTGAGTGACAAATAGTGGCTCTCTCTAGCGAAAAGTAAACCATATCACCCGAGACAGCCCGGAAGAGTTTATGTGCACGATAGCGTGCAAAAGCATTGTGACCACTGGGAAAAAGGGATCTGAGTTGGATTGTGGGGAAAAAGGAAAGGACTACTGGCCTAGTGGATGAGGGACAATTTTTGTTTAAATTCAGAGGAGATGCTCTGGAGAAAGATGCCCTGATAGATACAAAGAGCTCCTCAGACATCCTACGACAGCAGTGATTAAGCAGTCTGTCAGCATTGGAAGCTACAGCACAACGACCGAATATCCTCCTTCCTTCTCCTTGTCCAACACACTGTTTCTCGACACACTTATACTGGTCTTTCCTCCCTTAGCTTTTTATTTTCATTAAAATCACTCCACACAAACCTCAGAGCCCAAACACAATTCCACAAATCCTAATGAATGGATCCCAAGCACTCCACATTTACATCCCCGCATACTGTGTTTATTTCACTTTGTCCGTGCCTTTACCCGGAAGGCAAAAAAGCTAATGGCGCACTGAGACAATCCAGCAATTTAAATCCTTGTTTCGGTCTTCACATGAATAAATAAAAAAAACGTATTTCATGCATTAATAAAGAGGGCGGATGGAAAAGGCTCGGCCTTAAAATAAATCTTGATGGTCTTATATCCCGTTAAAACATATTCAAGTTGGGCTCAAAACTAATTTGAGAATGTTTTATTTTGATTAAGCCTTTGTTTAACTAGGTCCCTCCCAGGGAGTCACACATCTCTTTTACAGGGTACAACTGGTAAGACAAGTTACTATGTTTTGCCAGACCGTAGATTGTTCCATGCAGAAAATCTAAACAGCATTCTTCCCATAACACTAACGATGATTTTTATTTAGATAATAAGGTACAGTAAATAGTGATAGTGCCTTTGAGTTTTCATTCAGGGAACCTAAAGTACATTACTTGGATATTTGCTCCTTAGCTGAATGGACGCCTGCAGTATATGTTTGTACATTGTGCACACAGCACACTACCCGCTGGAGCCAATAACATATTTGGGCTGCTTCTAATGTGGCCGCGATTAATGCTCAGTTTCCACTGAAAGACTTTTTGAAATGTTATGGATAGGTTGTGTATATTGCCAGGATGAGTACCGTGAAGAAGTCCAACACTTATTCCCTCCTACCCTGTGAACAGAAAAGCAAGATGCCGACAAACAGCCTCTGCTTTACAGTGTTTTACGCTGCCTTAACCTTACTTTTCCTGTCAAACTATCATCTCGCAGTGGACATGCTGGGTAAACCGTAACGGATGAATGCGTTTTCATTCCTTTCAAATGGATCTGGTAAATTGCACGGATACATATGTCCATTAGGGAGCAAGAGAAGGGAGAGAGCTGGCCTACCTTGACATCCACATGGGCCATGAGGACAGCAAAATTGGTTAGATGGGTACAGGAGCACGTGGTGTGGGTCCTGTTGGTGCCGAGCAGGCGGCAGTCCTGGGTCGACCAGTGACCCGTCATGGTTTTCTTGGAGTAACTCCAGAAGGAACAGTTGGGGTTGAAGTTCTCCTCGGATTGCTGTCGGGGGGGCAAAAAGATGAATGCATGAGTCAAAGTGGATTTAATAACAGGAAACAGTCCAGCACGTCAACTCTTTAAGTACAACACAGGCGTCCAGACTTTATCACATACAAGGCTTTGTCCCTTTCTACCTGCCTTCGTTTGCAGTATAATCACCTGGAACCAGGTTCATTATCCCCCACTGCAATCCGTATCCATTCTAAAGTGAATAGCAGGTGGTCTTACTGTCAAAAAGCCCCACGTCTGTTTTTCATTGTTTTCTGACCTTTCTCCTCAACTTTCACTGCAAGAAAATGGACTACCCCACTGTTTAATAGGCACAATCGCTGCCTGTGACGGACTGCAAACGGCAAGCACACCGCCCCCCCCTGCTTACTCGCTTGCCATTTCAAAAAAGTCGTCCACGACCACTGAGTAACGCATGAGCACAGCAAAACAGAACAACCAATAAATAGATACATCAACGGCCTTTTCTTCTCAAGCCTAATTTCTTTTGTAGCTTCGGAAACAAGAGGAGAGCACGATCCTTTCCTTCATGACTCACTGCTTCCAAGGTTAAACATGTCTGCCGTCTTACCATTTGCACCACGAGGAGCGTTAGATTTCCATAGTTTCATACACGCTGTGGGGTAATTAGTCTAATAAGGTTTATCCTCTGTGAATGTAAATTTGCCGCTGACTGAGTTTACCCTTCACACATCCAAACCCTGCGTAGAATATTCCACGCTAAGGAGATAGGATGACCCCCTGTTCCATTAATGGATTTAATTGGTCCCATTAAGTGGTGAGGCAAGGAAGCAAAACAATAACTAGAGGACACATCATCATCCCAGAAGACCAGTGATCCACAACATCATGGTTGAGAAGGGAAGCCCAAAAACCGGAACATGAGCTCGCCTGGGGAGTTCAGATAACGGCGGTTTATTTTCAAGGGCAAAGTTGAGGTCAAACCAACATACCTGAGATACACATGGATACTCTTTATTCTATTGAGGAGTATAACGTATATAATATTGGATGCCAACAATGATCTCTGACATTCAGAGTCAAATATAATCAAGTTGATTACAGTCGTGTACACCAAATACAATTTAGAGTTTCTCCTCTCAGAAACAGCCAGTTCGCCGATGAGTTCCCTTAACAACAACTCCGACTGGTTCACCAGTTTAACAGAGAATCGGGAGCGCTTGATTTGATCAACCAGAGAGACGTATCGGCACTGAATGCAAAATGCCAAACTATCGCATCCAATCAAATGTAATTAATAGTCTGTAATGATTATTATTATGTAACTAACTGCACAGCCCTCGCTTTTCCTCAAACGGTAATGCATGCTCAGCTCTCTCTCTCTCTCTCTCTGAGCACAGAGCAGAACACACTCTGTTCCAAAAGGGCACAGTTTTATTGAAACGACTTGATCCGGCCAAGAAAAGGGTATGAAAGCGCCACTGCCCCAACATTAGACGAACAGTAAAATGGCCGAATCTAGGATCCAAATTACAAATTACACTTAAGGCAGGTGAGTCACAGCAATAACTGCGCCGACATTGCCCCCTGACATTTCACCACCATTCAATTTTGATATCCATAAGCTTCTCTCCTTTCCCTATCTCCTCAGCACGCTGTGTACTTCACCGCCGCTCTTTCTTCCTTCCAGGTCCCTCCTACACACGAGACCCGCTGCAATTCTCTCATGGTTGTTCGACATCCTCGGTAATCGCTGAGGGCGCTGTTTGTAGACAAAACAGGGATATTTCGAGGGTGGCAGAGTGTGGAGAAGATAATGGAGTCGAGAGGGAGTCGTTGTGACTCCCCACAATGACTAAGCAGCCTCCAGCGAGGCTCAATATGACGGATATTTGTTCGAGAGATCAGGCTGGTGTTTGTTCAAACTAATAAACAACCACATGCATCTTCAGCATCACCTTGTGAGCAATTGCTCACACTTTAACTACATTTATTTTGTTCTGAGATGGGATTCCTCCATTTCTGCTGCACATAGGAAATTGAGATGAAATGGTTGTATTAAGGAGGCACATAAAATAAACATACAAGTATGTCGTGTGTGAGAGTAAAATAGAAAGAGAAAAGAAGCCCATTATATCAAAGGAACAAGGTAAGCGCATCTCCAGTGAGACACACATTGAGGGACAGACGAGTACCTGTAGGTGTCTAATGGTAAATACGACAGGGTCCGAGAGGTAGACTTTGTTGGAGTCCTTGTTGATGGCGGCCGTGATCACCGGTGAGTTGACAATGACCGAGTAGTTGGTAGCCATGGCTTCGCTGCCCAGCTTCATGCTGGCATTCTCCGTGGAAAGGTAGACCCCGATGTGTTTGTACAGCACGAAGGCTATCCGAATCTCACCTGCGGGAAGACGACAGAGGGGGGAAAGTGGTCAACGTTCCTCAAGTGACAACCGAGGAAAGATTACTCAACATGGCCAAAAGGATGCAGACAACCAACCACGACACCGTGGAATGATTGTTGAAAGCATACGGTGGTTGGGAAAGTGAGCTGTGAGCTTCATAGTCACCCCGCACTGAGCTGCTTGATATACAGGAACGGCAAATAGCATCAGCCTGAGGTGTGTGAGGAAAGATCAGAGCTAGCTGTGGCCCGCTTCCTCCATTCAGTCAAACTATGTATACAAAGTATTGAATGATATCTTCAAATGCTGAACAATTCTCAGTAAGCAACATACATCATACAGTGTACTGCTTTTATAATGTGACAATGTGCTAGTTATAGAGCTTATATGCTATTGATCTTTCGAAGCTTTCCGCAACACTTGAGAAATACTGAAAATAATTACTCAGCTGAAGCTTTGTGATCACAAGAATAGAAACTGAGGTAAAAAAGACAAAAACAGACTCTAACGTCAAGGTTGCCAAAATGGTCCTGTAATCAGAAAGTCTTTTTAGTTCAGCATCCCAAAAATGTGGAACCTTTGAAAAAAGCAGAGCATTTTTCTTATCAATAATGTCTCTCTCTCTCTCTCACTCTCACACACACATCTCTTCCCCCTCCTGCCGCCTCCATATTCAGCACTGACATGAAAGAAAACCCTCCCGCCGTGACTGAGATCACTCACTCAAATGAAGAGAAAACCATTTGGGTGCTAGAGCGCTGGATGAGGGGAAAGATCTGCCGCCGTGTTCTAACGATGCGCCCGGGCACGGCTGGACATACACTTAGTCACCCGGCTGAGAGGGTTTAGGGGGGCACATTGAAGTCATTTGCACCCGTAACGGAATTCCCACAAAACCGTTGCAGCTCCCAATGCAATATTACATTACACACTCAAATAAAACATAATGCTGAGATTGCCGTGTCCAAGGCGCATTTACACTTCAAACCAACAACAAGGGGCCAGCGGATTCGAAGGTTACGACGACTCACCGTTTCTTCCGTGCTGCTTCAACGTGTTGGCCGAGAGGTGGATAGCGTTGCCCTGTCCTCCCGTTTGTGGGAACTTCAGATCAGGCAAGTTCCCGTCTGTGCTCATCCTCGCCACTTCCAGCTCTTTACACATACGGAGCAAACGCGAGCATCAGCAGTTAATCAATACCTTTGACTTTCATGATGTACAACAGACATAACAGACAAACTGCTACAGGCTCATCGTTTGCGGCGGCACAACAGTGCAATATGGTTGCTGTAAACATCCCTTTTAGTTTCCTGTTAATGTGAAAGGTTCATGTTGGAATTTTTGAACGCGGCGATGCCATAACATAAGTATAAGACAGATTAAAGAACAAAAAACGATCCTGCTTTGGACGGAAGCTGACCTCCTTGTGACTTATTTGGTTTAACTTCCAAGGGGTAAAGACGTATGAGCCACTACTCACACAGCAGCCAGAAGTAAACTCATCTCCAATCACTTGACTGATTCACTTTCCTGTACAGCTGATTGTATTAATCCAAGCATCTCTGACGAGCACTAAATGCAATGCATCTTGTCTTTGAAGGAGCGCCTCCCTCTCCACTCTTCGGATGAAGGGGATGTCTGTTTTTGCTGTAAGTCTCTTAATCAAATGACAATCAAGTGTTCAGGTGACGTTGTTTCCTCTTTTAACTCTGTCTTTGGCCTCGACATCTTCATTTCAAAAGATTATTTTTCCCCTGAGAGAAAGGGATACAAGGAGATAAAGACCAGCTACGGAAGAGGAGTTCACTTCTGTGGCAGCTCGACAGCTGTTGTTTTTGCAGCAAGCTCCTAATTTACGGTTCAAAGAATCCGGCGTCATGCAGCAGAGCAAAATGAGCGGCTGATAGAAGCCCAGCTGGAACAAAGAACCCTCGTTCCATCACTTATTATGGTGTGATAAAACTCAGTTTGATCAAGCAGCCGAGCGGGCTCAAATCTCGAGTATCGGTGACCTGCGCAACGTCTGGGCATTCCGTCACATTAACTCCCAAAGCACTGAGACGAACCCACTGAGTCATCGCCAGGCAGAATTAAAGACAAGAAGCACTAAAGGTGAATTCCAAAAGATATGGGGAGCAGTATGGAGTAACACAGGTGATGGAGCAAATAACTGAACCTCCCCCCAAGATGTTGTACCTGCATAGACTATTCCTTAATTTGTTTCCCAAGAAAGGTGTTCGTATAAAACAATTACACTTGAATGCTTTGCGTCTGAATAACATTCACTTTCATATGGGCTCCCTTCATCTACTCGAGGGAGAAATGTCCGCCCCGCGATCGCTCCTTTTTCGTTTCATGGTCAATGACACCGCATTTGCTTTCTGCTGTGCCGATGCAAATGGCAGTCATCTATGGCGCAACACATAAAACTGGCTGGCAGATTAGTCTGCAGTGGAGAATCTCAAACACAATTCCACCCAAGTGTAGGAAATGGAAACTTCATTAAGCCTGATAAGGGATTCCGGAGATGATCAGTAGACTATGACACCTCCGTCTTTGCGAAAGGTTAGTGCCCACGGAAAGCTACAAAGGGGCCACATCTAATCCTCCTTTTTATCGGTTCTCATACCAAGGCTTCCCATTTTTTATCTTAAAAAAAAAAAAAAAAAAAACACCTTTGTATTAACATTCTCTAGCGCTTTTTTTGCAAAGGCCAGGGGGTTTCGGTGATACATTCCTATTCAACTTAGCTAAGACAATACCCCAGATAGCCCACCATTCCCTGGATTCCACGCCTGCCGTTGGAATAAAGAAAGCATTTTTCTTCCCCCTCTCCAGCTCTCTTTCCCCTGTGTGGTTGTGTAAAAGAGCTTACGATGGGCTTTGGGGAATGCCTTTGATGCCATAGTCGTTGCTGGACCCAAAGGCTATACCTTCAAAGCCCGTCTAAATAACACGCTAATCGGCAGAAATCTGCTCGTAAGATTATCATGCAGAGAGTGAAGAACACTCTTGCGCAGACAAAGCCCTGGACCGGCACATGCACTGTGACGTGTAAACACAAACACAGTCACAATGGGTCAGGGAACAGCCTTCCTCTTTGAAAGTGAAGAAAATAGATCTCATTATGAGCTTACATCTAAAATTGGAACCGGGCCTTTATACTGCTAAAGATTCATTTTGAAGCAGAAGAGCCTCCATGAGAATGTGAAACCGAGAGCAGTGAGCTACAGTACACCTGTACACACAAAGGCCATTACTCCACTAGTAATTCATTGTGAGAGATCAATAATTAGCTGCTGCGGTGATTGCTGATGTTTAAATGGGCCACCCTCGTCTTCAATTAACCACTCTGCATGGCATGAAGGATCGCAGGGGCCAACTGGCTGAAAAACGAAAAAAGCAAGCCGAACAAACAGAGCGATGAGGCCTAGTAGACATGTCACCGGCCCATAATTAACCAGACCACCACAATAAGCTATAAAATCTCACTCCAGTTGAGCAGGCAATGTCTCGCCCCCCCCTTAAAACAAGCCCAAAATCTCCTCAATACCCACATGAATTGTGTGCCAGATACAATAAAATCATTTTATTAATTATCCTTACGCTTCCTTCCTTTTTAAGTCTACAGACCGATTTTTTTTATGTTGCCATGGCAGCAGGAAAAAAGCTCCACTTCTTGTGAGTGGAGGGCGATACATCATAGCATTGCTTTATTTCTTGATTCCCCTCGTCTCACTCACCACCCTGTGCAAAAAAAAAAGTGATTTAATTCTACTTTGTGCTTCGTAAATGTCTCTCAATGTAAAATACATATTAAATCAATCTAGTTCTGAAAACTCTGCAGGTGGAAATATTGATGACAGTTGTTCCATTATCTGTGCTCACTTGGTATTCATACACCGGAGAGTGAGCACTGAGCCCTGATCTGCACAACTAGTGGCTCATTGTGGCTAATAATTAACATGAGTATAAGCACCATTTGACATGATTGTGCATTTCCAGCCGACTGCCATCAGACATAAGCAGCCCTGCCAAAGTTAACCTCTTGCTCGGGAGAAATGATTAAACCGGTGACCTTCGCACACTTTCCGACGCCGCAAGAGCACCGCTGTCAATATGACAGCGCCGTGGATCAATAGCTGTACGGCGAACTTCTTCCCCCCTGTGCCCACGGCAAAACCAGGATGAAACACTTCAGACACGTGAGGGAAGGGACCACGGGAAAACATCACAAATACAAAACCAAACATTCAGCTCTTTAAGTCCAGCTTCCAATTTTGAAAATATCATAATTGAGAATGCGGCGGCAATAATCTGTTTCTCAGCAGCTTGAGAAGAAATTATCTTAACTCGGTCCAAGACAGTTTACTCACGCAGACGGACCAAATTAAAGTGTAATTTGTTTGCTGGCAGACCGTTTCCATGATTTCTATTGCTAAAAATAATTAAATTCCAGATATCTCCATTAAATAATGTGATCCATAACTTCCATTGAAATTTGAAAAACAAAAAAGGCGTTTCATTAGATTTTTCTACGCCCAGTGTGGAGGAGCCAACAGGAGCTGGAGGAAGTCTCCAGTATCCAGTCAACTGGCTCCACTGGGGAGACACGAAATGGTCCAAACGTCCGGAGACGTTATTGACCTTCAGAGCAAATTCGCGGGCTACAGTTATGTATTTGTGACAAAATGAATGGAAAAAGATTCAACACATAGCATCCTCTTATGTCTAAGATGATAATAAAGGATTTTTTCACGTGAAGCTTGCCGGCTACATCGTCTTCGCTCGCACTCACGGATGTTGTCGGTGTTCTCTTGCACGATGTCGGTCTTCAGCAGGTTATCGGCCAGGACGAAGGCCCCTTGCTCCACGGTGTCCAGCAGCATGGTGGCGGCCCGCAGCTGCTCGCCCGTGCTCAGCTCCCTCCACGCCGCCTGGGCCTGTGGCTGCAGCAGGTTGTTGACCGTCTCCACCATGGCCTGAGGAGTCCAAATCAAACCATTTAGCAGACAGAAGCTAAGCTGGCCTGGGGCCGCTGTGGTCGGACATGGTGATACGGTGACACGGTGAGAGCGGAGTAAGTGAGATGAGGATTCAGGAGGGAACACAAAAAGAAAAAAAGAAGGAAAAAAAATGGCGTAATCCGGTGGGATTGTGCCAGCATGACGTGTTCACACCTTTCATTTCATAATCATCGTTCTACGGAGCAATTTCATGATCTTATTTCTATTTCATTTATACAAGTTATGCTTTTGGACATGGATTGTAATTGGTGGCAGCAGCACCTCAATCTGCAACGGCATTGGTTATGTGGCTAACTTACTTTTGTTAGCGCTTCCTTCTATCCAACTACAAGCAGAATGATTCATGTAAGTGAATGAGGACCTGTGCTTACACGACTGGAGGCCAGTTCTTACATGACTTGAGGCTAGAGTCTTTAATTGGTGAGATTAATGTTCTTCCATGCAGAGAATCCTAGAACAACAAAGCATAACGAAAACGCAAAACAACATCCAGATGTGCCAATGGTTGGACAAGGCATTTGCTGGTAGCAATAACTATTCACATCCTCTACTGCATAGCAAGTAAATACTATGCTCCCTCTAATCTCCTCACGACAACGCCAAAGCCAGTGAACACGCAAGAAACGAGAACAATGTCAAGAAATCATGAAAAATTTAGACCCATTAAAGATTAAAAGAGCCAATGGCAAGATTTATGAATAGAATCCTAATTGGTCGGGTAAACTAATTCATTCCTAGTGCCACGGCACCGAGCAGCGAAATGAAATAAACGTTAAATACAGTAGGTGGTCAAACAAAGAATGTATACACTTAATATGACGCTAATGTATCATAAACATAGTCAGATACAGTATAATGTTGACATTTCCTTATTTTCTGAAAGAAAAAGAAAGTATTTCTTACTTTGCCTAAAGCAAACACTGAGTGAGTTACTTAACCATAATTTAGTGTGTTATAACAGTGATTATAAAATATTAGGAATATACTTTTTACTATTAAAGGTATGGAAATTGTAACACACCATCTTTGTAAAAAAACATTCAAATTAGTGACAAGCAATTTTAGTGACCTACCTATAATCATAAAATGCTTTACTATGTTTATAATGTTCATTGTGAATAATAACTATAAATTATATAAGCAACTGACACACCAAACACATCATAATGTATCATTATTTTTTCAAGCGCTTTTCATATTTCCAAAGACATAAATGATTTGAAGTTTGCTTAACATGCACTTTAGACATTAACGTAATAGAAAGAGTGTTTCGGATTGCCTTTAGATTTTCCGTTTGCACTGCTTCAAAAGCCAGTTCAGGCTTGACATCCTTAAACAACAGGGGGGTGGGGGGGGGGTCTTCTGAGAGAACCTCTCTGGACTCTGCTAAGATCCCATTTTTCATCAATGGAAAAGAAATAAAAGAGTTTTCGTATGACTCAAAATCGGCAAGAGGATGAAGCCAGGGCCGATAAGAGAAACCATCTGCTCCAGGGTATCAAAAAAGAAAAAACTGACTTTACCAACCAACTAGTCACTAAGCATTAGTGTAATGGACCCCCACAATTACCTCATAATGTTAAGTTGTGCGTCGGTTTCAAATCACTGTGATAGCAAGAGGAGACTGACTGACTGTATTCCACTCACTGGCGCTGGGTGAGAATTTCAAACAGCACCAGCTGGCTTCTCCTCGTTCAAAACATACCCTGCATGCATTAGGCAGCCCACACGCACACACAGACACACACACACACGCGCACACACACACGCTGTGAAGGACTGACGCAACAGTGAACACACACCTCTGCACCTGCTAGTAGACAAAACCACAAGAAAAGCGCATGCACATACACACGCACAGTCTCCCAACTTTGATGTAATTATTCGTTATCTGCAGCCAATCTCCAATCACACCTTTTGACATTCTGCCAGAGGCAGAGGTTGATTCACTCTCAATTAAGGAGCTCTTTTTCTTCAGGCACTGACATTTTTTCCCCCGTACCCTTTGTTCAACACTGCAAGAGTTATTTTTTTCTTTTCTTCTTAAACCACTGAAATAATAGTTATTCCAGGGAAAAGATTGATGGACTTGCAGGGAAGCAGTTTGGTTTTTTGCATGTTGAAGAGACGGACAAAAACCCCGATTCAAAACAGAATAATAGCACAGAGGGATCGGGTCAGAAACTTGATGAGGAGAGTCTAAGGGAAGGATAATTGATAAACAAGAGGGGCAGCACCTATAGTATGTGTCAAAGATGCATATTGTTAAGGTCAATTTTCTTCCTGGCCCTTCAGGCATGTACAACATTGTCCAAGGAAATGCAATGAAGCTGGCATAAACTCATTATGCATCATTTGGACTTGCATTAGATTACCAAATCACTCTGATGCAAGTCGTTAATTGCTGGTATTAATATGTGTGGAACATGCCAATTTTCCCTCATTGGAACCAGAGAATGAAATGATGCTATCAAGACTATTAAGTATTGTCTGTAGAGAAGTATGCTGAATTACCTGACCTACACTACACAATATAATACTAATACTATAATAACTTTTATTCATATAGCACCGTTCCAAACAAAGTTACAAAGTGCTTAACAATACGCAGAAGCAAGAGTCTTATAGGGTTTATGATCACAAAGGGAAAGATTGTGTTGCCTTTGCTGCAGAGGAACCAAACAACACAAGTGTTTGTTCCGACTGCACTTCTGTAATATTGCTCTGTGCCCACGAAAGTTTTCTTAATGTTGCCAAAGATCATTAGAGCTATCATTTAGTTATCATTTTACACATCAAGACGGAACTGTGTCATTTTGGAACAAACGCACTTGCTTTCCTGCAGGCATTTAGATGAAGACTTGATAACATTCACCGTGTCTGTGCGACAAGTAGGAAGCTACGACCAGCAGTCAGTTACCTTAGCGTGACTATATTAACACGGAGCAAACAATCAGTCAGTTGTGTCGTTCAGAGAGCTTTGGAGGTATTTGTAGTTGTTGTGCTGAGCTCAGCTAACCAGCTGCAGGAGAGCGGTATTGATCATCTTCCCACCTCTAAGTAAGTAAACAAATAACAGCATTTTCCAAAATGACAAACTATGTCTTTGAGGACACTAGACAACATGTGTTCCGTTAAAAACAATCTGGTATTGTTGCAGTTCTTTCAGCCTTTCCTTTGGCACATTTCCCCAAATCGGGAAGTAGCAATCTTTTACATTTTTCAAGTTTTAAATACATCGTGTTTATATCTGGACTTTTCTGGGCTGGCACTAATATTTGTAATCGTCCGTGTTACAAATAAATCCTACTCATGACTCTGATGCCAAACACATGACGAATCTGCATACTTACATATTGCCCACCTTCCAAATAAATATTCGATGTGTGCGGTGTCTATTCAGGAGGAAAAACCATCATATGTCTCGTTGATTCATCCAGGTAAAGTAAGTATGGGACGTTTTGGAAGACAATTTGGCTTATTAATTTTTCTTGTTACGGGATAGATGAAAGAGATAGATGCCACTCTCATGTCTGCATGGTAAATATGAAGCCACAGCCAGCTGGCGGTTTGGATTGGGATGTGCACCCACGCATCGCAACCATCATCACAGTCTGTGCAGGTGAGACGGGACGGCGGCCTGCTGCTGCTGCTTTACCGTTATTATCCCACTGCCACTCCATCTGTCAAATGTAGAGGCTCAGCCTACTGCGGCCTTCCTTCAACCGTTTTCATTTGCGCTACACGACAATCCTTGCCGAAGGAGCGTAAACCGGTTCCTGGTACACGAGGACAAGCTAATCGTTAACCCGGCTCACTGCCAGAATGTTGCACCGGGAGAAAGCACGAGGACTGGGCGTGAAAAGCTGCAGTGCACAGGAAGGAGAGGTGGACATTAGCTTGAGCTTGGCAGGGGTCCCGGCAAGCCTATGGGGTGTGTGTGTGTGTGTGTGTGTGCGCTTTTATCAGCGTGCTGATTGATGGAATGAACTCTGGGTCTGGGAAATTGATTCTAGCTGAGGCTGATCCCCCTTCACTTTCGGGCTTGCTGTCGTTGGCCGGCTATCTAAGTACGGCCTCCTCGCATCCTATAGACCGGGCTCCTCCCACTTGTTTTCACTCACTGATGTGTATGACTGCTCTCAAAAATTCAGGGAAAAAAACACTAGAAATGATCTTGTCCTCTCTGACTCGATGTCTCTTGGCACAGGTGAAGCTGTTGCATCATTTGTACATCTTTTCGCCTTTTTTTTTTGACAGTCTTTGAAAAATCTTTGCAGACTTCATGTTTAATATTTCATGAAATCTTCCCCCTCTTGTAAGTGGAGGGATGCGTCTGTATTTGTGACTGAGGGGTTACCTTCGTGTAATCTTACTCAAATAGCTGTTCTCTATTTATTTATCAATGGCAGAGAGAGGCAGACTATAAGAGGCTTAAAAAAGTCCCACAGCACTTCCTCAGTATAGTAATCAGGCTTCAACACCCAGTGCCATAAACATGCATTCTCTCTAATGGCCATGAGTGGGAGACTCCTCTTTTTGCAAAAATGTCTCAGAGAATATAAAAACCTCTCACTGACTTTGTCAACTCAGTAGACATTGTAAGGATGAGTTTAAGTTCTTCTTAAACACATCATCATATTTAATAACCTACCCTTCCATTAAGAGTGAATGGTGGATAGAGCAGTTAATGCTCTATCCACAATTGGAGAGATCAGTTGATGATTGACAGGTCCCTACCACAGTAGTCAGAGTTGTTTGTGTCGGTCCCGACAGCAACAGGCAAAAAGTCGCTAACTTGAGGCTTGAAAACTGTAACTCCCCCACCAGTGAGTGACATTACGATGACTACTTCCACTTCTTAATAAGAACTCAGCACAAGACAGTTTTATATTCACTATTTTTTTCCCAAGAAACCCAACTTGCGCATATATTTCCCATGAAAACCCTCGTAAATGTACCCCCAACTATTTTCTCATGCAACGAGAAAGTGGGTCCAAATGTTTGACTGCTACTGTACGTTCATGAGTTAGCATCTGGGATTGAGGAAATTACAGTGTGCGTATAGGTTTGTCCTGTATGTCTATTAATATAACTTAAATAATGTATAAAAGAAAGAACAATATAAAATCCATAGGACTTTCTTACACTAAATTATACATACGTGTAACATAAGCATGACATCCCGAGAGTGAGAGAAACCACAGAGACAGATTCAGGCAGAACCGTAAGTAACAGACAGATGACAGATGAACGGGTTTCGGTTATGAGGATGAGGATCGTCAGCTTTTAACAAATTGACTACCAGGGAAATGTTCTCATCTCGTTACATTCTCCAACGAGGAGCCTCCCCTCGTTTCGCCTGCTCTAAGGTCATCCTGCACTGTGACACTCCCCCGAGTCATCTTTGCAAGGTGTCATTTTAATGAGGGGCCAGAACTCAATATGCTCCCTGTATCCTGAAAATTCACTCTCGCTCAGCTCCCGCTAAGCAGGGAGATATTAAATTTGCTCTATTATATGTTGAAATGGCCATATGCACGCATCATTTAATTGAAAGTCCCACACCTTCCGTTTAAAAACAAAATAAACGCCAAAGGAAGAGGTCTTTCAAAGCTCGCGTGTTTGACTCTCGCTACAACACGGATGGACATAATCACAGTAATTGGACCTTAATGTCACCGCCTCTGAACAAGCTGCCATTACTATAACCAAAAGGCACAGAAGGAAGGCCGCTATTTTCATCATGTTTGCTCAAAATCAAAAGGGCACAACAGAGAAACATTCCTCCGGGGGAAAAAACAGAATGTAGGCAGTTGTTCACTATATTGTGCGCTTTGCGGCTTTATCAGGGCCACATCGTTTTGGGTGGAGTTAATGAAATTAAATTGGCAATGACATTTGGCAGATATCAAGGCTCATGAACAATAGGGAAAGATTCCAAAGTCATCATAATGAAGGGTGTTTTCATCTGCACAGGATAAACACATTGCTGCAGGTTGAACTGCTTGCAAATGTGCAATTCAAACACCAAATGAAACCGTTGAAACTCCCTAATAATCCAAACAAGATAAAGACCTCAGTGCCTGATGAATTAAAGTGTCCTCTTGTTTTTTAATCTCGTTTACCACTTAAGCAAGATAAAAGCCCTCAATCAGGCAATAATCACTCGTCATCTCAATGAGACATCCACCTCCAGCCCTGCACTTGATTTTGGGCCGTGTCCTCCTTCATCACAACCACAATCTGCCTTTCCCCAAAGTACCGTTCAAGTCTGTTTTCAGCGCCGTCCCTGAGCAGAGGGACAGCAAAAGCAGGTGCGCCGCTCATTTGCTTTGTATTCCTCTGCTAATCCCATTTATGTCAACCACCGGGACCCAGTCGGAGAAAACATTGCCCAATTTCCCTAATCAATGAAAGTCCCTCAAAGGCTGGCACCGTGTGCAGTCAATGCCTGTGTGTACCTAAGGCCACAGATGTTGCTCCATTATTCCAGTTCGTCAAGTGAAAGCTCCACACTGTGGGGGACGGAGGGGAGGAGGAGGTCCACAGCTGAGCAGCATGTACAGTTGTGCATGGCCATGTACCATACATCCTCAACAGATACTGCACTATTGGAACATGAGCCCAGATGCTGCCGTAGAAGCATGCACCATTTTTAGTTGCATGACCGCATTGATGGTAATATTGCACGGGCGGTCAAACACTTTACTACGGACTGAAACCGCTTAAAAATAAATGGATTGCCATGAAATTCTGAGCAGATATTCATGGTAGAAAACCTAAACTATTAAGCTGACATCTGGATGATTGGTAATATCATCTAGCGCCAAAAAATGCTCAGTGGACTTGTCCCAAATTTGTCCCCAAAAGTATATTTTTCTTTAAATTAAATAAAAATATATTATCATGCGTATAATGAAAACCTAGTAAATATTACACCTGTTAAACGTCACAACAAATGTGTACATAAATAGGACACCACCAGCCTTATCGTACGACCATCTCACACTCACAAACCCATCGGCACATGGAAGCAGGCTCAGCCATATGAAAGCATTCCAGTTGGACGTCATTTGCTCAATCAGTTGACTATACATAGCAAACGGCCTTCTGATATGCCTCAGAGGAATCGAGGCCGATACACGTTGCTTTACAAGAGCGCTGCACACCATGAATAGAAAACAACATCTGCCTCTGATGTGCAGGTTTATTGGGGCCATGTGCACAGCAGACACGGATGCCAATGTATTCCGTGGTTCTCTTGTCAAGGTAGGAATGATACTGATGGCAGCTAGTATATCGCCCCAGGGATGACAAGATAACCCAGAAGCCTGAGAAATAGCTGAGGGAAGCAATAGACACCTCCCTAAATTAGGACACACATGTATTATGCATCAGGGGGAATCATAACACGTCATGACTTTGGCTGACTTAGTAGTTAGAAGTTGAGTTGATGCTATAATGAGGTCACTTCTTTTGGCTCCGATTTTTTGACTGATGTTAACCACTCATATGGTTTATTTCACTAGAAAACAGCTGTGATGCTCTTTCTTTATAAATGGCTGAGACACACACAATAGATATAAGGCATTTCATATGGCAAGTTTCATGCTCATGCAAAACATGTTTTAGGGACAATATCACGACAAACTGTGTGCTTGCAAGGTAAAATAAGGACAAATTACATAACAAATGTGGGGATGTAACACTGATGTTCACTTGTTGGTATAGAGAGAGAGAGAGAGAGAGAGAGAGAGAGAGAGAGAGAGCGAGAGAGAGAGAGAGAGAGAGAGAGAGAGCTGTCCACTTAAAAAGGTCAACTCTAATGATATGGTAATAATATGAAGGAATGGAAGGTGGGTACGTGGTAAAGTTTGGAACAAATACCTGAACATAAAATCGGCAAGAACGCTCTCTTTTCTGCAGCTGCAACCAAAAGGAAATGCAAATCGTTAGCAAAAGGTCATGGATTCAAACAATCCCCCTTGAATACATCCCCTCTGTTTGAAATACAGACTTGAAAGTAGTGAGAAAATTGCTTTCACAAATTGTGTGCAAAGTAGCATATGTACACAAATGATATGCTACCAAAGAAAAACACTTGTGTGTTAATTAGCACTGAAATGAGACGGACTAGACATTTGGGAGTACGCCTCTGACACTGATTCAAAGCTTTCTTTTATCATTTATATTTTTCACATAAGACTTTCTATGCAAACTCAGGAGAGCTGTTTATCATTTGAACCTCTGCCACAGTTGGAGAGTTAGTGCTGACAACAATTTAGCACACCTGAGAAATGACGGAACACTCGGGCTCAAAGAAACGCTGCCGGCACTCGGTGAAGAGCGGATGATTTTAATTGAGTTCTGATACAAGCAAGGTAGCTAACGGTGCTACTGTGCGGTTTGACGGCACCGATGCTAAATCCCATGCAGAAGAGTACCACCCCCCCACGAAGGAGCCTCTTCCTCATCACATCACAGCCCACTCTCCTGGAAACGCTCCCGTCCGTACCGTTAGCCGGCAACCCTTTGATCAGGAAAACTAAACTGATCTCACCGCTAGCCAACTCAATCCTTTCATTGTCTGCTGGCAGGAGGCATTGTGCTTCGCTATCGGAAAAGAAAAAAAACTTTAATCTTAGCTCTTTGCAGATTGTCTCAAAATGATTTGAGCTACGGAAGTAAACATCAGCCACTGGCAGAGCAGAGGGGAAGAGGCAAGGGAAAGATACCATTCGGACCATTTGTCTACGAGAAAAGCCAGAGCAACGTTGGACTATATTGAGGACAGAGAAATATGTATTACATAACAAATGAGTAATCCCACGGCCTTCTAGATCATCATGGATTTAAAAAAATAACCCCTAACCCCTTCCTTTTGCCCTTCACCCTGCTTTAAAAGAGAAGTTAAATATAAGCAATCACAACCACAGCAGTAGCCTCCAATTGAATGTTGCATTTTTACGAGAAAGCCTTTTTTCAAGAGGTATTATAAACTCTAGTTGCCCCTCTACGTGGATTTGTCCATCACAATCCTTTATGAGGACTTTTGGCCATCTTTACAACCTCCCCTCTCCATTGGAGAAAACTGGCACTAAAATCTCAATGGGGACATCTGCGTCCGCCCGGCAATCAAATAAAAAATAAAAAAAAGTCCCAGAATAAAAAAAGACGGTCGGCGAACAGGTGTTCGTGTTTCTCTACAAGTGAAGCCGCATTTAAATTAATGGCTGACATTTGGAAATTCACTAATGTTTGCTCTTCTGTCGGCTGCTCAACAGACAGAAAGCCTTATTTTAGATCGCTTTGCCTGAGTGCCCCTCGCTCTGCTCGACTGAATTGGGGAGTAAACCACATTTGATTCAGGTTCAGCAAAACCAGAAACACGCCGATTTCCCGCAGTTTAGATACAGCCCCATGAAAACGTACGCCGTCCCATTATTAAAAATAAAGTGGAGTGCATTTGGCGAGCATGACGTCGTCAAATGCACTACAGATCTTTTAAAAGTGGATCAAAGTTGAATCAATAGCGGAATACACGGTACTCGTGTAAGGGATGTGTCGGAGCTGTTGACGGCCCACATGGAAAGGGAAATCATTTCATCCGGCAGCAATACGATCATTAAAAGGAAAACCTACTGCTCGGGTCTGACAGGGTTGAAGTTTTATGTTAGCTAAGCCTCACAAGTTTGAAAAGGTTTACGTGAAAATGCAGACTTTAAAGATTGGCACTGGCCACCTTGTTGAGGCTGCGCGCTGCGCTGTCTTTGCCGCCCGGCGTGAGGTTCCTCAGCTGCACGTCGAGGAGATCCACCAGCTGCACCATGGCCTTCACTGTGAAGGTGATGTCTCCGGCCTGAAGATTGCGCTTGGTTTGTTCCGCCAACTCCCTGGCAACGACCGCAGCGGTCTCTCCGGCTCTCAGCTGCGAGAAAGGACAAACAGAAGCACTTAAATGTCTGGACTGGCTAACGTGTATTTCCTCTGCAGAGGAACAAACAAGCCGCATAACCTTTTTTGTTTTTTTCTTCACTGTACCATTGTTACAATGAAAAACATGACAAATTGCTCTGTAGAAGTATGTGACCCCTTAAAATGAATACCGTTTAGCCTGTACATTTCCCCCCGACGGCTTCTATAATGCACACAATTAATGAGTTAAGACGGTCGTCAGCTGAATGTACACACTGGGGCTCATATTGTATCCAGAGGCAATTTGGAAATGGGCTATTGGGGCGATTTCCCCAGATCCTTCCCGGGAATTAACATTTTTTTCCGCAAGCACCACATCAATTATGATTTGCGAGTGTTGCCCTTTTGTTGTTGTGAGACTTAAAACGAGGTTTGCTTCATAATGTTTTCGACACCTTTCAAGGAATTGTTTAAAGAGTGTAGTAAGAATGCCTTTCTGTCTCCAGTCTTATTTTGTTCTGCGTCGTATTTTTCCAAAAAAGAAGCTTTTACGGGATATGTGATGTTTACGCTCCGGCAACCCGACGTTACCAGAGACCTTTTTGCTTGACGTGCGCATCCATTAGTCACATCTGTCGGGGTATTTTGCTATAAAGCAGAAGAAAGGACAGTGCCCCATGGCTTTTTTTATTTTATTGGAGAAACTTGCCAATATCTAACGTGCGAGCTATGGAGGCATCTGCTTATTGACTAATGAGGCTCACCACGAACCCTGAAAGGTTTGCTTCCGAACTTCATACTTTTCCCAGTTATTTATGCTGGCTTTCAAATGAGTTCGTACATACCGTATCAACCCAGCTCTCTGTACCTATTAATGTGCAGCGGTGCCCCTTGATGTCTACCATTTCTCACTTGTAATTTATGTGTCTCTGCTTGCCAGACAGTAAATAAATGGGTCTTAACAACTTAAAAATAACAAGCAATTATTTCCACTGCATTGCCATGTTTCTTTTTCAATTAGTATTAAATGCATTATGGAAAATAAAAGACTTTGATGAGTATAAAAAAGTCAAAGTCAACAAATGAGACCGATTGATTCACCGTACCAAAACATTTTTTACACGTCTGGAACCATAACACAAACCATATGTAATAGTTTGTCTCAACTCAGAACGCTAAATTAATTTGTGCAGTGGACTTGAATAAATGCCAAACAGCCTTTTGGTGTGATGTTGTCTTTAAAAAGGTCCGGCCCCTTCAGCATTTTACTAAAAGACTGGGTGTGGTGGGATGAGCCTAAAAACTGCCGTTACGCCGACGATACGGCCCTATACGGATTTACTCTGGCATCACCTGCTGTCACCGCCTGTGAGTTTATTAGCCGAGCCAATTATGCTGCTTAAATTGGTCTTCGCAGAGAGGTGAAAGCAGGGGATCTTGTCTTTGGAAAATGTTTTCCTCATTTCCCTCTCTGCTCTTCTCTCTTAATGAGAGCTGGGGATGCACAGCAGATAGCTGAGTTTTCTGTCTCTCCCTCTTTCGGTTTATCTGGTGTCATTTCATTCCCTTTTTTTGTCTCTACAGATCCCTTCCTCATTTTGTCTACTGAACCATCTGGTAATGAGCAGAGCCACATTCAAGACAATGGCTAAAGATATGAAATAACAAAGTGCCAGATGGACATTCCAGATCTATGAAATGTTAATCTTCATTAAAGACGCCCTGTCTTCACGGAGTAGTAGTGTGACTCGCTTATAAAACATTAAATATTCTATGAAGCAATGACACAGTTACTGTTCAATCCATGCAACAACATAGCAAGCCTTAAAGCGACCTCAGGAAGCCATTGCTCGAGTTCATTTCTGCTAACAGCCGCCTGGAGTGCAGCTTTATTGCGGCCTTCAAATGAACACAAATGCACCTTAAATTTCTCTCCCTTATATTTTGTTCCCCAGCAGCCATCCTCCATCCAAATCTGCAAAACTGCTGTTTGTTTAATGGGCCGAGCTTTGTGCTGTTGAGTACACCCTAAGTGTTATAACATGCACGCCTCAGGGCCCTGTGAGTTTAAGGGAGAACATCGCCAGCAATTCACAACCTGGAACCCTGATCCTCACTTGCAGCAAGACCCCCACCCCCCCCCCCCCCCAACTCATCCCCTTTTTATTTTATTCCATTGCAGATTTGAAAATAGGAAGCTTTATATGAGGCTTTGAATAATAACCTGTCCGTAGAGGACAACATACAAATGGTTAACGCTTGAAAAATAGGTAATGCAAATTACTGGTGCATTGTGTCGAAGGACAGAAAGTGGTCTGCATCAGCTGTGGCCCAACGCAGTCCACTAGAGTAGAGCGCTGTGGTGCAGATTCACCCTGCGCCCCCTTCCAACCACTGTAGCCCAACACGAGCATTTACCCTATTATTAACTGAGCCCTCTGCCTAAGCCCTAATAATAATTGAGTAGTTAGGAAGAAACAATGGACAAAAGGGACAACACATGTTTGAATTAAAGCTGTTAAAGCAGCAATGTTGGTTTATATTGTGAGCGAGGTTAAATTTTTAGTGGAACCTGGCGAAAGATATAACATACTTCAACGCCTATAAATACGAGTTTTCATATAACTGTATTCCAAAGAAAAACACAAAAATTCACCTTTTAAATCAACCAACTTTGTATTATTACCCTAAGTAGCACATGTTCTGCTTATTATATCAGCTTGGTACCTTCTGGCTGATGAGTTGGACCCAAGGGGAGGTGCAGTTGCTGAAATTAGGTCCCTGGGGGTCCCAGTACCCCTCTGGACCGACGCACACGTATGAGGCCACACCTAGAGAGAGAAGAGAGACAGCGGCTTAGTGAGCGCAATGACAGCTCAAGTGAGGCGACCAACGTGTTTGTTTTTCTATAAAATGTCTTAAGAGACTATCAAAATTACACACATTTTATCATTTTTCCCGCTGCTTATATACTGGCCATTGCATTCAGTCTTGTCATCTAATGGCCAATTTCTATGTTGAGCACTTTTCTTATTTGCATAACTTGTTGAAACACAACTGTGATTTCCCAAAGAAGCACAATTGTTAAGTGATTAAATTAATGGGTGTAGCGAAATGTAATTGGATGGTTTTATCTTATTGGGATTAAAATGAAGTTGCTTTACTTGAGGCCAGCCAGGTTCACCCAGACCGTGTATGCGTTTAATCATTGAAAGTCAGACAGTGTCTGCATGTTGCAGTTCAACTCTTGCATGAGAAAAATACCGCAAATGAGGTGCCAATTAAGTCTGCCATTGTGGAATTCATCACGAAAGGTCAATTAAGTTGGTCTGAGAAAACGGTCTGTGCACACATTTGAGAGTGTTCCATCTGGACTTAGGAACAATAACACCTCCGGACATTGATTCAAATTAAACAGTGGGACCATCATCTATGAAGGCTCTCTCTATTTAACTCTATACCTTCAACCTCATTATAATAAAAGAAAACTTTTAAACTTACCAACCAACACAGTTTGTGGAATAATCCAATGCCTGCAATGTTTAAAAAAATTATAATTCTGTCTGACTTGCTCTACCAAGTATTCCATGCTGACATTTAATTGCCCTTGCTTGTGCTTGTGCTTAGAGGGTGTGTTGGCGGGTGACACGGCCGGCATTAGCGGATATAAAATTTGATTGACATACAATTTCCTCCACCAGTCCACCTTGGACAGCCTCATGTTTGATGGTTTTATCAGATAAGGGACTCTGTATTTCCTCCTATATTGAGAGGCGGGAGAAGGAGCATGAAAGTAGGAGGGAGAAAGAGTGGGAGTCAAGACGGGTGTATGGGGGAAAAAGAGCGGCAGTGAGCGAAGTGAGGTAGATAGAAGGAGAGCTCGAGGAACTTTCAAAGACTGGCAGAGTCGCGTTCTGCATTGGCAGTGTCGTCTGAAGAGCAATGGCTTTGAAGAATGTGCCGAGAGGAGGTTGGGTATGTGTTCCTCTTATCTTTCCATATGACGGTGAGGTCTCAACGGGTGCTGGTGTTGCCCATTAATGAAGCCTGTATCTGTGTGTGTGCGTGTGCTGACTGATTAAATTAATCGATTATTTTGAGGATATGACGTTGCACCACAATCAAGGAGGACTGGCACTATAAAATAATAATTAAAGAAAGGTTTTAGACAAAGGCATATTTTACAATTCAACATATCTCATTTGTATTACTTCTTATTTGGGTTTTTATTGTGAGTGAATAACACTCAAGTCTTTGTTTCCCTGCTTACTGAACTGTATATCTACAACAATGCATCTTCTCTGCGATGTGATTCCACCAGACCTGCAGCAGCGCCCTGCTTGTACCTCTGCAGAGTACGTCCATGAAGCACTACCAATACATGTGTTCCATTCCTCTCATTGAACATTGAGGCACTACGGAGTTGCTCTATTATTGGAACTGACAGCAGAAACGTACATTTGAAAGGTTTCTAAGTTACTTTACAGTTAAACTTGAATTCGATTGGATTGTGGCACAATCTTCATCAATATAAAATCAAAGCCTCTTTGCCATAAGTGTCCAGGTCCCATTAAAATACAAATGTCCGGTTGATCAGCACATACATAGACATTTCTACATCCTGAGCGAAAGCTTTATATCTAAAGCAGATTATATCTTAAAGCGGACTTGACTTCATTCTCTCTCTCTAAATGAGAGTGTGGACGTCCTCACAGAGTGACGGAATAAAGCATCATGTCTATTTTGAAGACCAGTCAGGTTAACCTAATGGGACCTTGGAATATGGTCTAATGTCCTGATGTCCTGTGTTGGCGCCAACAATGAAAACAATACAATAAAAAGTTCACTGCCAAGATCAAAGGAAATAATTTACGTTATAAAAACTAGCTACTGTTGATTTTCTGATTTTCGTAGAATTGGTTATTTGCATATATTTGGAAAAACTTTGACAAAGCTACCACATCACGAGTGATACATTCAATGACAATGACTGAAGGACTCTCAATTTACTAGTCAATTTAGGTTACAACTCTCACGTTTAGGAAAGAGCTTTAGGAAGTGAAAGAAAAGGAGCTTGGATTTTAGTAGCTATTGTGAGGCGCCCTCACCCTATACTCTATCATGACTGCCCCTGATACAGTACGTCAAGGGAAATATCCACTATGTGAGTACACTGGAGAGCTCTGCATCCCACGTGGCCTCAAAAAATGCCTTAAAATCCCCCAAGTAGAGGTTGAGGGTGTTGCTTGGGAGAAGAACTTCAGGGCAAACATGTTTTAGCTTTCCATTGTCACAATTTGGATCCACAGAAATGGTGGTTGAATGGAATGCCCTCATTTCATCTTCCATAGCACCAAGGGCCAAACTACTAAAAATAGGACTTTGGAGACCCCTGCAATATTAAAATGAAAAAAATTCAAAACCACGGCACCTGTGGTTCCTGGTGGACAGGGCATCGTGGCCACCATGCCCTGCTTGGTCTTGGGCCAGGAGATGTCCATCATCACCAAGGGGTTGCAGTTCTCTACCCGGATTTTGGGAAACTGCGAGGAAGGCGGCGCCTTGTTTTCGTCTTCCGGGAGAAAACCCTCCATAGACGTCTGGACAGGGGCCACCACCGTGGATGTGGTCCGGGGCCACAGGGCCATTGCATTTGTTGTGGCGGGCATCTTGGTGGTGGTGGTCCTGGCTGATGTGGTTGTCATGGTGCCGGTGGTCGGTCGAGTGGTGCTCCTCGTTGTCATGGTGGTTGTGTCCATGTACACCATTACAGAGGACGACGTTTCTGGTAAATCAGAAAGAAGCAACAAAGAGGAAATAGATGTTAGGAAAAATGCAGTTTCAAAAAGAAGACAGAGTAAATGTCTCTCTTTTTAGGCACACCTTATTTATGCATGAGGGGGGGGGAGGCAGTGTGCACGCAGCGGGGGCTCTGTTCTTTGCTTCTTTTCCACTTGTCAGTTTAACAGTAGATAGTTAGGAGAAGATCAATTGGAAATGGCAGGTGTGACTTGCCCGGGCGTGCAAGGCGTTTAGTTTTGGACCCCCGCTGGCTGAGCTAACAGACGTACACAGCTGTGCAGTATAAGGGGTGATGTTGACGAGGGCATATCTCTGCGGGTCAATAGCCGGGTGTTGTAGCTACATGCTATTTCTGGGTCAGACGGGACAAACTGAACGGCCTATTTCCAGGACGCGAGTCCTCCCTGTGGCTACACTCCAGGAGGTGCTAGCTCATGACATTGTTTACCTGAGCGGTTGGGGACAAGGGCCATCATAACAGCAGAGCACACACAGTTCGACACACGCACACACACACACAGATTGAACAGGCATTGGTTTGATTAGGGTCCTGTGTTGGCTTGTTTTTCACGAGTTTTGTTTACAGTACAGCAGCACACACAAACAAACACCCACCCACACCAAGATGTGGTGGACTCTGTAATCCTTCTCTTCCTACTCAAATGTATTTACACCTCCTCGACTCGCCGTCATCAATCATCCCGTCTATTCAGCTATTATGTCCCCTTTTTTTTATTCCTTACCCTGTGTTACTGATTGGAAAATGAAGCCTGCAAATATGTTTAACTTTCTGGCTCTTTTGATGAATGTGTTCACCTTGTTATGCTTCAAAGAGTCAGAGACAACACTAAGAGGTCATACTTTAATGGGGACGTAGCCTTTGTTCCTATGACGTAATATCATCATTCAAGAGCATTGCCCTGCGTTACTCACAATACATATGCATTATTTTTCCATACAGATTGTTCAATATGAACTACTGGGATTTTCCATAGTCATGATGTTACTACTGGTTGTAGTCTGGAGTAAGGTGGCTTGCTGTACAGCCTTTGAATAAGTTACTATGAAAGAGCATTTCTCAAAATACACACAAACACAATCTGGGCCTTTGCAAAAATGCAATTTGGGATAGTCGTCTTAATGCAGCGATACAATCAAAATGACAGAAGTGACAAATGCCCCAATCATGAAAGGGGAGTAAAACTAAATTCACTGAGGTTGGATTTTAGGGTGCAGGTATAATGGACTTTACCAAACCACAAAGCTTAAATAACGGACATCACTCTTGAATTCCAATTCTCCAAGATTCTATTTGCAACCGGCTGATTCCCCTGTATGGTCGATTGGAAAGCCGTGAAATAAGACTAAATTAATGCCACTGTTTATGAATTGCAGAGATGCCTGTACGCCGTAATGACACAAAAAAGCCCACTCTCAGCAGTCACTTCAGTCATCGTTTAACAGAATTCACCAATAGCCAAGGTTGATTGAATAGGTTGCCACCACAACAAAAGTCCCGGGCTGATTGATTATTTGTTTTCTCTTGCTAACTAAAGAATTTGCTGTGTTTATAAGATCCGCAGGTATCTTGGCCACTCCTGTGGAGACACTCCATCAGCAAAGTGGGACTAGAACAAGAATCTCATTGAACTCAAGGCACGCAGAGCATTTCTTTACCCCCAGCCGCCTGATAATGCGGCATTATACAACTTCAACAAATCCATCACAGAGATTAAAACCAAATATGCTTATTATACAGACGTAAATGTTAAGTGGAATAAACAAATCTTGGACAAGATGTTATCATACGGAGGAAAATGAATGAGAGATTGAATATGCTGGTATGAAACAGCCACGTGCACGAACACCCTTCAGCCACGCACATCTACCATGGGTTGACACGACCAACCATCAACAGGGCTTTAAAAATAAGTATAGAAACCCCATGAATACTCAAAAAGGCATTTAACATTTCGATCAGCCACAGAGACGTCAAAATTTACATTCTATGACCACCGTTAGACATCATCATCAATCTGCGCCACGGCAGCCCAATGATCATGAAAACGGGAGGGTGATATATCTCCGCGGAGGGCACTCTATTTATTGGATTATTTATGAGCGAGGGAATTTATCTCTGCATCTGCACTTGAGAAGTGATGATAACCCCTTAAACACGTTACACCAACTCTTGGTAAAGGCAATGGCATTTGATTTATGTTTAATTGAAATCAGTGTGGTGGTGCTCAAAGTGCATATGGTAGGAGCGGTAGGATGGTAGGAAATTCACCGCTCATATTGTGGTCAGTAAAGGTCACCCTGCACAGACTCCGATAAGACAGTGGCTTGAACAGGCCTCTGAATATAAGGGGAATATTGTACTGGTGGTGACGGCCGATGCAGGAACCATTTGCAATGTGACAGATTTCTTGATGATGGGAGTTTGCCGCCCAAAATGCAGACTGATGCAAGTCAGTGGACTGTGCAGGAACACGAGACGCATTACATGCGCTGAATGCAAAGTGTTACCATAGCAGCACTCAGTCGTTTGCCATCTAAAAATGAAGCCGTCCTGAGCGGAGAAGCTGCTCTCCCGCTGTGTGCGTTGTCATCTGGGATTTTTAGTGCCTCCTTCACACGGCGGTTCGAGAGCCATGTGGACGCAATCGCTCAATCATAGAAATACACTGTTTTTAACCACATAGGAAAGTATAAAAATTCCACTGGACAATATATTATACCTTATATCATTTGATTTAAAAATATCAGTGTCATCAATTAGAGGTGGTTTTGTTGAGCAACAGACATGTTCGCAGCAAAGAATAAGGCTTTCACCTCTTTTTTACATAACATTACAACATTTTGTGATAAAATCTTTAGAGTATTTATCTGGGAAATGCTAAAAGCATGTAACCACACATGTCTCATCTCATCAATTTTAGAAAGGCAGCAGTTGGCCATTTGGCTAACATTAGCAGCAGTGTGTTGTATGGCCTATGAGAAATCATGCACTCTCTTCTTGTAAATGTTACACGCTGCTGCTCTGCAGTTCCTCAAAACACCCAGACAAATATTCATTTTTCATTGTCCATGAATTTCAAACAAAGAAATTAACTCAATATACCTATCCTTTCTTAAATAACATAACATTAAAAGTTCCCTCGCTTTCATTAATGCTGGGTAACACGACGGTATGGAGAAATATGTCCTGGGGAAATTGCCATCACAGTGTGAGGTTGTCTCAAAGTCACGGAGAACCATGTCTAGAATGTAATTCCATACTGCCACATGATCCTGTTGAGCCCGCTGTTGAATTATCTTTCAACACGCCGCATGTTAAATAAGCCCGCAAAGACATACACAAGAGGCAGAGAACCGGAGTGGGAAAGAAGAAGGTGTCCTTGAGAAAACTTGTGTATCTTTTCCATGAGATGAGCAGCAGAAAAAAGGAAAGACAGCAGGCACAGTCTGAGAGCCCTATCGCCTCGGAGACATCACAAGGACATTTTGTGTTGCCAGCAAACCCATTCTCTCCAAAGGGATGAAGAGAGAAAAAATGCTCTGGAGCACCAACAAGGTTAAACTTTTTTCGGCATTCTCAGTGGGATTCAAGAGTGACCTTACAGAAAGATTGGAATGTGCGTAGTGTCAACAAAGCTGCCGACCACGTTCAAATGTGAACATGAACTGGTGAATCCTTCTCTTGCTTTTGGATGACTGAATTTCAAGTTGTATTGTCTTCATTAGAAGCTCGACTACCTGTTAGCAGTATCTTTAACAAGTACCTGGGTTCTTTGATGTGATTAGGTATTTTGCAATGAGGTTTTAGAATATAATTCCGCATTCAATGAATTCTGAAAGGCATTAGAGACCTTATTAAAAATGAATAGTACCAACATCCACCTATCAGATATTCATGATTCTTAAGCTTGGGGGCTTACGGCTGTTCCTACACCTGATCAGGTGACCTTTTCATTCATCCTAGACAGGTGCAAGCTGCTGTGGGCGCTCCGGCTTCCTCTCACTGTGAAGCACCTACTCCACTCATCATTCCACACCTCTTCTAATGCCCAAAATCCCCCTCACTAAACGCATCAAGTCTGTTTCCACCACACACCGAGCTTTGTGTTCCATTTCAAAGCATTCATTTCTAACTAATTAGGCTCTCTCTCTGTATCCCAGGGCTTGTGGCTTTCACAATTAGATAAGCACGCTCTACTTTGCTCCTTGAGAAAAAACTGCTATGCTACTATGAAATGAATCCGGTTTATACGACTTGCCATTTCCGCAAAGCCTCGTGGGCTCTGGGAAACTTCGGCACACTCAAGATCAAAAGAGGTGCAAAGGACTTTTGGGGGTAAAAATGAAACCAGCATCAGACTGTGATTCTTTTTTGTGCTGAGCCCAATTACCTTTTAATTTTAATATTAGAACCTTTATGTGTGGTTACAACGCCTGAAAATCAAGTAAAATATTAGAAAGTAGTGTGATGTCCCCCATTAGCCATTAGCTTCTACTGGCCTGTTTCAGTTAATGGAATTTCTGGGTGCTGGGACATGTATTTATAGAGTGAAGCGTAGTAGTGGAGCTATTGGTGGAGCTATTAGAAATGCATTTGACCATATACTCTATATTAATTAGTTCCGATGTCAGAAACTCTTATTAGCTATGTAGCAATAAAAAATGGGTACATATACTAATACATATACTAACATATTTGAAACGAATGTTAAGAAGGTGTTTCCTAATATGAAAAAATAGCATCTGAAGAAGGGTTTGTTAATTCTCAGCCATCAGCCAATTAGAGCATTAATTTGAACAACATTGTAAATTTGATGACAAACCTAGTGAAACATGGTCTATTTGAAGCAAACTTGCAAAATCAGTATGCACTTAATAATGGCGTAATTCTCTACACTCACAAGCATATAAATTCCCTAATGTTTATGTTGCATGATGCTACACGTGACCTTTTGTGCTGAA